ACTTCCCCGTCCAGCGTCAAGTGGATGTTCGGGTGGATGTTCGGTAGTGGGCTGAATGCTCCTGGCACGCAACAGAAGATTAAAGTGCATGCTCAGGTGTTGTTTAAATCTAGCCTGTCTTTCTGTCTGCACGGTCCCTTTAAGAATATTCTCATTTCTTTCCAGATGCGATCAGTAGGCTGTTCCTGGAGGACAATTCTGTAATTCCGTACGCCGCCAGTCCTTACCCTCTCAGATGGCTTATACCGTCCCTACCATCCCAGCATGCCGAAAGAACCGTCCACGATATGACTGGGGACTTAAGACACTTTGCTTGGAGCGAATACCTGTACCTAGCTCTTTATATCCTCTGATCACCTCCTGGAACCACCTAGGTCAAGTTGATTTGGAAAACGCAGCTATCTTCTGCCAATACATGAGCCCTGCTTCAGAGGGTAATTAATATCAGTCCTAAAACTGTGACCGGCGGGTCGCCGTTGCGATGTGTCTTTGATTCAAATTTGAGAACTAGCAACATGGGCAGGCGAGCACAGGAGCCAGCTGAGTTTGAATAAGGGGCTGTCCCGGAAGCAGTCAGAGGTCTATCCGGCTTTAAGGGACCACAAAAATGGAAGTTACTTCGATGCTGAAGCGTCATCACCCTCGGGAAACCGAGATATAGCTGAGATCAGAGCCGAAGAAACTCAACGTACAACGTCGGCCGAGTCTAATGTCAGACACGACGATCCCGTGGTGTTGTTGTAGTATAAAGTACAGAAGTGCAAAGAATGTCAAGCACCTAGGGAACTGAGACGGTAGCTTCGGAATGTTGGAATTGCGGTTAGTATTGCCCCTGGTAAGACATACACCCCGGAGATGGTTTCCTTTCCTTGTTCGCGACGTAGGGGGAAATATTCGTGAAAACTAGAGTCAATTCAGGTAAGATTACTCCCAAATCTGCCTCCAAGTCGGACGGCATCTTTTAGACTTCATGGCCGCATGGAATTGTGGAAGCCACAGTCATATATGTGAAAACGGCGCAGCAGGCGATGGGTTTGGGAAAAGAGCGAGGATTCGGAATTCGATTGCGGTAGCGCATTTATTAAGACGAGTACCTTAAGGTACGTGAGTGGAGCGTAAATGAGTATGACTACCTTAGGTACCTTAGTTTGTTGCCCCGAGATGAAGTCCATCGGTGTACACGTAGTTCCTCTCAAGTTTGGGGTGAGGTGAGACCTGGACCGACGCTGTCCTTCATCATCTGTAGTCAGCGGGTCAACAACCGAGTAAAACACGGGTAAAAGTGGAACCATACAAGGGACCAGCCAATTAGCGACCATAGCCCTCCTTCCAATTGGGGAAAAAAAGAATCAAACAAACTGAGCGGTAACAAACGGCAGAACCCATGTCCTTCCACAAAAATCAACGAGGGGACGCTTGCAAAGACTGACTGGGAAAACCGAACTGAAAAGGGACGTTATACTGGCCAAGTTTATGTTTTTGTAGCAGCCTTCGAAAGTATGACGAGAACAGCTACCGCAAAAAGAAAGCGTGCCGAGAGGGAAGCCCTCAAAGCCGAACGCGCCAACAAGAAACCGAAGACGGACGACATCACCAAGCACGCCGAGAAGAAGCTCTTCGTGGAGAAGTCGACCGGCCCCGATCGCATCCGCGAGGCCAAACTGTACGAGCTCCTGGGGAGCGAAGACTTCGAAACCCGCGTCCTCGCCGCCGAAGCCGTCATCTCGAGCCTCTTCGACGGCGACGGCGTGCCCGAGCCCGTCCTCGAGAGACACCTCGACTGGCGCCTGTTCCGCGGCCTCGCCAGCGGGCGCGCCGCCTCCCGTCTGGGCTACAGCCTCGTCATCGCCGAGGTGCTGCGCCAGCTCTTCGGGGACAATGCCCTGAGCCGGTCGAAATACCCCGGCCTGACGCTGGACAAGGTCCTCGAGATCCTCCAGCAGCGGACCCGGCCGACGGGCAACATGACGGGCCAGGAAGAGAGGGATTTCTACTTTGGTCAGCTCTTCGGGCTCGAGTGCTTTGCCCGCGCTGGCATCCTCCGGGGGAACGAGGCCATGTGGCGGACCATACTGTCCCTCTTGTTCAAGCTCGCCGACAAGAAGGTCTGGCTTCGGCCTCAGTGCGGCTGGGTCGTCACGGAAGCCCTTCCCGAGCTGGGGCTCGACCTTACGCTTACCACCCTGGATATCGTCAGAGCCGAAAAGTGGACAAAGTCGCCCGAAGGTGTGGCCATTTCTCTGGCTGCCCTCAACGCCTACCCGGAAGGCCGTAAAACCATCGGCAACCCCTTGGACGCCAGGGTGCTTCCGAGCCTCCCCGTCATTCTCAAGGAGAGCACGGATCCGGATGCCTCTGGCGAAGAGGAGACCTCTACGAAGGGAAAGAATAATAAGAAGAAGAAGAAGCAACCGAATTGGTCGCATCAGCTACATTTTGTGTGGGATATTCTCCTGAAGCATATTCTGAGCAAGGGAGAGGCTTCCTTGGAAGAGTTTACCGTTTTTTGGAGGCGATGCGTGGATGGTACGGAAATTCAGTCCAGTCTCTGGACCCTACAATCTTCTACCTCTTGATTTTTGTGCACATGGCTAACTGGTTCGGTTGAATACAGACAACCTGTTCACGAAGACGGCCACTGATGGCCAGAAGCTGCGTGGGTTCCTCGTCTTCCAGAAAACGCTAACAGAGCTGGTCGGGCAAGCATCTGACCAGTGCCCCCTGGAATCCTTTCTACCGGTCATTTTCAGCAAGAATCTCATGGCTTGCCTCATGAACCAGGCTGCGCATGAAGACCGCTACCTACATCGCGCTGCTCGGAAAACCTTGTCCCATGTGGAACAGGCCGCCCTGATCGACCAGGATGTGGCGACTCCCATACTAGAGAATCTGATCACGGGTAATGGCGTTTTCAGCTTTGACGTGAGGACCGGGACGAAGACTGTCGAGAACATCGTGCAGCGCGTGAAGCCGGAGGCTGGTGAAGACACGGTTGGTGTGCTGAGTGCGCCTGCCATGAAGACTTGCACAACTGGGTGAGAATTCTCCCTGCTACGTGCCGAGAGACTCTCGTGCGGTCTCTTTCTTTCTTTCTTCTTCTTTCTGACATGGTCTCTAGGAAGGACCTCGATAAAGTGAAGCTCGACCTCCGGGTCTATGTCGAGTACCTCTTCAAGCTGGCCAATGCGGCGCCCGAGGCCGCTTTGAAGGAGCTAACCGCTCTTGCCTACGCGCCGCCCGTCTGGGTGCCGTCGAACGCCGCTGATTTCGTCAAGGAGCTCAGCCGCAACCGTCTTCAATCTACCTTTGCGAACTTTTCTCGGAAGAACGAGGATTCGACACACCTATGCACAGCCATCGAGAACATCAGTCCGGAGTACATCCCAATGGACGCAAAACTCAAGAAGGCGGTGGGCGATGCGCGAAGGAAGTTGAAGTCTCTGATGCACGAGGCATCGCAAGAACCTAACGAAGCTGGCTCGGGGGAGGGCAACACTGCCCGTGGGTTGTCTCTCCTCTACACCATGGCCATTTTCCAAATCTACAATGCGGAACCCGACGCGTTCCAGTTGCTGGGCGATCTGGAAGAGTGCCACTCCAGGTTAAGGAAAGACCAGGAAGGTGCTGCCGAGTTCCTCGTGGAGATTCTTCTCTCCATGGTGTCCCAGGATTCCATCCTCCTTCGGCAGATTTCGCAGCAAGTATTCGGGTCTTTCGCCGGACGCATTTCGGCGGCGGCGCTCGAGCTTCTCCTGGACGTCCTCTCGGCCGATGAGAACTCCAAAGGTCGACAGGCTCTATTCAACATCGAATCCGACGACGTAGACCCGGAGGATATCGAGGAGGACAGCGACGAAGACGACGACGACGACGTCGAGGAGGTCCAACTCGATTCCGACGTGGAAATTGATTCGGACGTGGAGTTTGTCACGCTGAACGGTGCGGAAGCGGCCGACCCAGACAGCGGCGACGCCAGTCCCGATTCCGAGTCCGAACCGGATGAAGAAGGGGAAGACGCAGACGAAGACGAAGACGAAGAAGAAGGCGAAAAAGAGAGCTCCGAGGAAGCCAAGAACCTCGAGGCCATCGACGACGCGCTGGGCAAGATCCTCGGGAGCCACCGGCTCGACAAGGACAAGGACGCCGCGTCCTCCGACTCGGACGCCGACATGACGGATTCCGAGATGCTCGCACTGGACGACAAGCTCGCGGCCGTCTTCCAGCAGCGGATCAAGCACAGCCCGAGCAAGAAGAAGGAGCGCAAGGCGGCCAAGGAGTCGGTGGTCAACTTCAAGCGCCGCGTCCTGGCCCTGCTGGAGACGTACATCCGCGCCGAGGCCGGGAACCCCGCCGCGCTCGCCGTGCTGCTGCCGCTCCTGCGGCTGATGCGGACCACCACGGTCAAGTCCCTGGCGGACCGCGCGTTCGAGGTGGTCAAGGAGTACCAGAAGCGGCTGCGCAAGGCGAGGCAGGAGGCGAACAAGGAAAAGGGGGGCGGCTTGCTGAGACCCGCGGGCGTCGGCGTCGGCGTCGTCGTCGTCGACCCGGAGAAGACGCTGCGGCTGCTGAGGGACGTGCATGCCGAGGCGGAGGCTGGCGAGATGGTCGACCATGCCAAGGCGGCGGCGGCGGCGAGCTTGATTGTGGCGTCGACGCTGTATCTGTATGTTGCTGATGGGCCGAGCCGGGCGGCTGTCGAGGCGGAGTTTGTGAAGCTGGAGCGGAAGCCTGAGGACGGGGCGAAGAAGAAGAAGAAGGGCAAGAAGGCGAAGAAGAGGAAGAATCAGGGGGATGAAGTGGATATGTACATGGACTGGAAGCAGTGGCGGGATAACTACGAGTCGACACGGGAGGGTAAAGGCTCGTGAGCGTAGCGTCTCAGATGGGGGGTTTACTTTTCGGATGCTAGAATTACAAGAGTCAATGCCAAACTGGGGGAAGATGGGCGTCTCACGTCCATGTACATCAGCTGTTCTTCATTTGTGTCAGGGCAAGCTGGGGAAAAGTACGGGACATGGCCCTATACTGCTTCATTATCTGCTCTGGCATGTCAGTTAGCATGGTGTTTGGGGCTTAGACCGTCGATTCTCGGAGATGAAATGGTGTATTCAATGGCCCGTTCACTGCCTTCCTTGCAACTTGGTATCTACCCGTTCAAGTCCAGTGCTTCAAGGACGCCTATCCCCTTTTCTAACGTCCCTAATTCCACATTCGAACGCCCAATAATGAATGTTGTAAACAAATGAAAAGGTATGGGAGTCTAAGCCCGTGTGTCGATATGTTGTCCAACTCGTCCCCTTGCGGGATCTTCTGGCTTGCCATGATAGCCAGGCCACTGTGTCGTCCGTTTTCCTCTCTTCTTTGGCGCTGCTTCTCTTTCTTAGCTACCGATGATGATATCGTACTTCCTGGGTAAATAGGCCCTTACCTTTTGCAACGGCGCTTCGTGTGGGCCTCACTTCTTCTTGCCAAGCTTCTTGGTGCCAGGCTTCTTGGTGCCGCGCTTCTCGCTCTCGTGGATCTGCACACGGTAACGGGTGCGGCGGCGGCGGTTCATACGACGAATGTCGGGGTTCCAGCGCGGCTGACGGCGACGGCGCTGGATGAACTGCACGGCTGCTTCTTGCATTGTCGTGGGAGGCATATTGGTTGAGGGAGGAAGTGCCGTAAAAGTATATATATGACGCTTGTGATGATTGCTGGTGTGGAATTGCTGTGTGATGCACCTCCCATCCAGAAGACGGCTGTCCATGAGGTTTTATATTCATCACGGCCCTTCGGTTCTGTTGCTCCATCTATCTGAACAATGCGGTTGTTTTTGGCGATGGCTTCCTCGAAGTTCGACGTCGGATTAGGTTGCGACGATGAGATGTGACCTGTCGACAACTAGGGGTATAACGCGGGGGGGGGCCAAGATCGATGACGATAAAGGGAAAAAGATGACACAGGAAGAGATCATGAGATTTATTTTAAGAACAGATCGTCTAGTTCATGGCCTGGAACTGGACTTGGAAATGGGCATCAGCTGGTCAAGAACGAATTCAGGGGTCAGGGGCTGATCGGTCGGATGGTTGGTTTCGTGGCAGTCGTCCGTCAACATCAGAAGGACTTGGAAGAAGCTGGAAATAGGCGTGTTCAATCTGTCAGGAGTATGTACAGAAACCCGACATTAATGCAATGCAGTTGAATGGGAAGGGCAGATCTGAACTGTCGTAAATGTTGGCCTCTTCTTTTTGGTTCAGGGGTAAGATCGAGGTCTGAATGAGCTTGCTTTCACCATGTCGAAGGGGATGTATATCTGTGTAGATCCTATCTATCTACAGAGTATCCTCCGACGTCAAGAACCCCAGCCGGGCTTTCACAGGCTTTCACACAGCTTTATTGTATTGTATACGACAGGAATTGGGTGCCCCTTAATAAATGGTGTGATGGACGTCGTCTGGTGATGTTGATGCCAGTCAGGACTTGGAGACGTACACGTGTAGAAGCGACGATTACATAAGCCCTGGAGGTGACTCCACTCGGATATTTTCTGATTAGTAACATTCGGATTAGGCAGCTTGAATGGTGGGAAGTACCTTTGTACCAAAGACATGGGAATTAGGGACAAGGTGGCCAACAAGCAGCATAAGGTATCTTGGGTAGCGTCGCATCCAAAAGAAGGGTTTAAAAAAAATAAAAAAAAAGAGAGAGATGTTACCCTTCCCCATCTTACCATCTTCACTTCTCTCTGTTACCCTATTAACGTGAGAAAGAGAGCCGAGATACCACCTGGCGTGTTCGGCCTAGCTCACTTTCCGCCGTGCAGGAGACGCACGCACGCCTTCAAGTCCGATTCTTAAAGGGCAGGCGGAAAACCCTTGATCTTCCGGTATGATCCTCCTTGAAGCCACGGATAATGCGACAATGAATTGCTAATTCCCGCATGCGCTCTGCGCTCTTCGCTCTTCGTCTCTCTAGTCAAATCTTTCTTTCCGTTCGAAATCTTCTCTTCTTCGAGTGCTCGGCCTCTCGTCCTTTTCGCAGCAGACATATCCCTAGACGTGCCATGCAAACATGAAGGCCCATCAACTGATTATTGGCCTCCTTGGCCTGCTCACGGCCTTTGCGGCCGCTTGGAGCAAGGAAGGTATGATAACTCCCCTGGAATAGCATCAAGCTCTTGCCATGTTTCCCCCATCTTCTCTCTCACCAAACAGGAAACGCTGACAAGTTGCTTCCCCCTCCCCAGACCGCGAGATCTTCCGCATTCGAGCCGAAATCCAGGCCCACGAGGCCAACCCGGAGACCACCTTCTACGAACTCCTCGGCGTCAAGCCCGGCGCCTCCATCGACGAAATCACAAAGGCCTACCGCAAGATCACCCGCGCCCTGCACCCCGACAAGGTCGCGCAGCTCCTCAAGGCCGAGCGCGCCCAGGCCCGGAAGGACGGCAAGCAGATGGCATCGGGCGTCAACGTCGACAAGCCGCCCACCCAGCGCGAGATCAACGCCGCCATCAAGGTCGCCTCGGAGCGCCAGGCCCGCCTCGGCCTCGTGCGCAACATCCTCAGCGGGCCCGAGCGCGACCGCTACGACCACTTCCTCAAGAACGGCTTCCCCACCTGGAAGGGCACCAACTACTACTACCAGCGCTACCGCCCCGGCCTCGGCACCGTCCTCGCCGGCCTCTTCCTCACCGCCGGCGGCGCCATGCACTGGATCGCCCTCTGGCTCGGCCACCGCCGCCAGCGCGACTTTGTCGAGCGCTACATCAAGTTCGCCCGCGCCTCCGCCTGGGGCGACAACCTCAGCATCCCCGGCATCGACTACGCCCAGCCTCCCGCCCCTGCCGCCGCCCCTGCCGCCGCGCCCTCGCCGTCGCAAGAGGAGGATGCCGCGCCCCCCGCGCAGGCTGTCAACCGCCGCCAACGCCGCTTCGAGGAACGCGCCGCCCGTAAGGAGAAGAGCAAGCCCAAGGGGAAGAGCGCCAGCGGTGGTGGTGGTGGCGGTGGTGGCGGCAGCGCTTCTGCTAGCGGCACCGCTACCCCCCGCGACGTTCCCCAGGGTGCCCCGACAGGTGCTCGCAAGCGTGTCATTGCCGAGAACGGAAAGGTCCTGATTGTCGACTCGCTCGGGGAGGTTTACCTTGAAGAGGAAGACGAAGATGGCAATCTGCAGCAGTTCCTCCTGGATGTAAGTTGATCAAGCGGGGTCGTGAAAAGAAAGAAAGAAAAAGGAAAAAAAGACCCCCAAAAAGAAGAAGACAAAGGGAAAAAGAAAGAAACTAACCATCTCATAACCAGCCCTCCGAGCTCAAACCCCCCACCTTCAGCGACACCGCCGTCGTCCGCCTCCCCCTCTGGCTCATGCGCTCCACCATCGGCCGCTTCCTCGGCACCAACAACCCCACCGGAGAGGACCACGACCAGGACCAGGACCAGGACCAGGACGACACCGCCGAAGTCGACTCGGACAACGACCAAGTCCAGCACACCCCCTCCGGAAGCACCGGCTCGACGAGCGACGACTTTGAGGTGCTGGACAAGTCGACCGACTCGCTCCGCAAGGCCAAGACGTCGGGTGCCCAGACCGGCGGCAGGGCCAACAAGCGCAAGGGCAACAAGAAGCGGTGAAACGGTGGAGGATGGGTTCGGTGATCGTCACGGATGTTGCTTCGTTTGGTTTCTTGGTTTGTTCTTTTTTTTCCTTCCTTTTTTTCTTTCTTTTTTTTCCCTTCCTCCCTTTCCTTCTCTTGGTGCGTCTCTCCGTATACGCTCTTGGGCCGGCTTGACCTGTCGCTTCTGGTCATGTTCTTGGCATATGTTGGAAAGTTGGCAATAAACGGGATAAAGAAATGGAATGAAACGAAGCGAAGCGAAACGAACTAGACAACCGCGGACGAACTACCGAAGGCACTGGTGGTGGCCAAAGGAGAGGAGAGAACAGTAGAGAAAAGTACATAAAAGAATCATATTTAGAGATGCTACCAGATTTGCTCGTTTTCCCCTCGGCTCACCGGCGGCGTAGATATGATGTGAGACTACTTTGAGATTACTTCGTGAGTGTACAACGAGAGCACATGAGCACTATGCGAGAATGCTTGGGGGGGGCGATAGGAAGAGCTTGATCGGTGGTATCAAGAGACGGATGAGTACCGCCATCTGTGGAACGATGCTTCTGCGCTCGCCCTGAACCCCTGAACCCCCCCCATCACTGTCACAGCGTAGCGCCGGGGTTTCGGGGTTTGATAAGTATACCACTCTGCTCCTTTTCCCCTTCTGCAGCTTTGCCCGTGTGTCAATTGCCATTGCGTTTCATGCCTCCACTCCAGGTAAAAGTGAAGAAATGAAAGGAGGCAGCCAGCTTGCCAGCTACAGATGTCCGTCCGTACCGGGTGGAGGTGCTGTTCATCCCTGCAAATTCCCCTCGGACCCGTCTCTCCTACATGATTTCCATGGCTTCCATGTTGCCAGCGGGCCCCCCAAACTGCTGCTGCTGGAACACGTCGTACTGACCGTACGGATGATCTGTGTACATCTGCATCTGCATCTGCTGCTGCATCTGCTGCTGCTGCTGCTGCTGCTGTACGGGCCAGTCGCCGGCAGAGCCCCTGTAGACGGGATCGGTGGCGCGGGAATAGGCTTGACTGTTGTTACTGCCGACGGCGGTACCAAAGTGGGAGTAGACGTTCTTCGGGCTACGACCCTCGGCCTGTTGGCGTTGCCGGCGTTGCTCGCGCTCCTGTTCGCGGCGCATCAGCTCCTCGTAGCCCGACATCATGTAGGGCTCGACGTTGTTCGAGGAGGCTAGCCAGCGGCCGTCTTCGATTTGTACGGGAGTGCCGTCGAGGCTCATGGCGAAGTTGCCATTCTGCCTCGCTCTCTCTGCCTCGAGGGAACGGTCATAGCGGAGCTTCGCCCAGCGCTCCTCTTGCTCGTAGGTGGTGGTAGTCCAGGCCAAGGAGGGGTTATCTTGGGAGCTAGTGGGTGGTGCTACGCGCCACAGCTCGACGAGCCGAGCCTGTTGATCGGGATCAGATATGCGGAAGAGCTGGTGCTGGGAGCGGGACAGGACGGTGGGATCGACGCCGTTCTGGGAGAGGACGAATTCGGCGGTAAGCTGCTCGGTCTGGGGCGGCTCGGACGAACGCCGTTGTTGCTGGTGGACGTCCTGAGTCGCAGCCGACTGCTCTTCCTGTCGAACCTGGGATACTGCCGGCCGATGGAGGTGGGCGGAATGCGTGTAGTGTTGGGAAATGGAGTAGGTGATGGGCTTGGGTTCCGGGTTCGAGTTGGGGAGTGTGGAGGTGGCCTGCGTAGGGGATTCCCTGAGACTGTCTATCATCGGATTCTCCTCAACGGCAGTGCTGGGTTGTTCTGGTGCCTGTACCTGTGTTCCTACCAGGGCCTGGCTCTGAAGCTCAGGACGGAAGGTCAGGTTACGGGAGAAGAGAGCAGCGAGATCGTCGTGGACCTGCATATTAGGCCGACAAGTAACCATTTTCTGCCCATATATTGTGTTAGCAGGAGATGATACCCCGCCTGGTTGGAGATGCGAAGACGCCTGTTACCTCGTTCGTGATGGGAGGTGCTAGTCGAGCGATGCGGACAAGACGAGAAAATAGTAAGACTTTCGCTTCTTCTCGACGGAGAGCGAACAGTGCCGACAGAACTTTGTAAAGCGTACTCAAAGTATGATATATACACCCAAAACCAAGTCTGAGCCGATGTCGTGGTCTTTGGCGGGGAGGACGAAGTGCCGAAACAGCAAGGCAAAGGGAGAGATCTGGTATTCGTTCGAGGCGAGAAGCGATGGTCAGAAGACAGCACGGTACAGCAATTCGAGTTATATTGGGTATGCTATGTACTTTTGCGTCGTTGCAGTTAAGAAGACTTGAGAGCTTCGGTCGAGTCGCGATGGGTAGAGACAAGAATATGGGACAAGACTGAGGGGCCAAAGAACTCGCGGGACGGCAGAGTACGGCTGCAAAGCAGGGAAGTAAGAGCGAAGCAAAGTCGGATCACGATAAGCCACAGAAATATTCGAGGTGAAAGAACAATTCCAGAGACGACGAGGGAGAATGTCCGTGGGAAAGGAGAAGTGGGGGGAGGATAAGGGTGATCCTGATGGATGCCCGTTGCAGGATGCGGTGTACTTGTGTGTTCTTGTGTATTCCGCAAAGCAAATGGAGCAAAGTCGTTGCGATTGTGTTTATCGTGATGTTGTCGTCATGGGCAGACGAGGGAAAAAGGGGAGGGGGGGAACTGGACAAAATATACAAAGTAAGAATGACGATGGAGGGGCACGAGGTTTGGAGAAGGTAGATGCCTAGTGCCTACCTAGATAGGTAGTCCAGGGGCGACATGAACGCTCATGCATGCCTGCCCAGGCTGCTACCACCCTAGACCTTGGGCAGTACTTCCCTACCTTAGTCTAGTTCCCCTCCCCTTCCTGAACTGTCGGGACACGAAGCAATCAAGTTCTTTACGTTGTAGTACCTGGGAGGTCACGGTGACGAGGCACAAAGAGCAGTGAGGGACGGAAGGTAGCGATGGTAGGTACCGTATTTTGAGACGTATGAAGTATTATATGAGTATTAGTATTAGTATTATTTATTAATATCAGGACCATCATGCCACAAATTCTTGTTCGTTCCTACGAATACCTATCGATCGAATACAGTCATTAGCAAGTTCACAAAAACGAATGTCAGGTAGGCCCAGCTATGGCCCAATAGACCCATGACACGACGATCACGAGCCGCCCATGTGGGTGGGATGCGACGGGCCCCGATGAAGGTTTCTATGGTCTTGGTCATGGTCATGGCGGGGGAGGAGGAGGGGCAGAACAAAAAGGGGCGTTCTAAATGTGACTGGCGGCGGGTTTGCGTTGTTTGTCTCCCAAGGCTCATTACTACACGTGGAATATGGCGATCAACCAGTTTCTTTTAATCCTCTGTCGAACCGTTAACACACACGATACCTGTTCGTATTAGCGTGTGACTTGATCCCCTCCCTGCTTTGCGGAAGTTGTTTCAAACGTTCAGGCCCGTTTCTTCATTCCTCACCTTCACGTCTCACCGCTCCTTTCCACCTCTGTCACTTTCCCCCTCCTCGCGGCTACGAAGTGGGTACGCAGACGGACGCATGAGCTGCGAACAGCGGATTCGGAAATTTATTAATTATTCCTAAAAATATATGATTACGTGAACTTGTGAGCATGAAGGGGAAGAGTCTTGACTCTTCAAAGTCCCGGGAATTATTAGTTATGCATGCATCGCCCTGCTGATTGACCACTTGCTGCCTTTTGACCCCTCCATGAGTGGACAGTACCTTCTTAAACTGTAATATTTTCTTGTGACGACCAGAGAAGTGAGTGACTATTAAACTCGGACAAATAGTAGTAAGCAGTCTTGGGCATCATGTTATGCGCCCGTAGTCCAACCTAGATTAAACTTGTATGCCTTGGGATGAGATTGTAGAAGACTGGAGGACTGGAGGACATATATCACTGGCACAAAGAGACGGGGGAAGCTTGTCAAGCCACATCACATGCTCCCTCCCCCAGACGTCCAGCGTCCAGCACTGTTTCCAGACCTCTTGTTGTGGTTAGTGGTCCGTAATCAAAGTGACGCCTGGAATCCAAGGCACCAATGTGAATTCATCCTGGCAATTCCTTGCCCCATATTCACCATGATATTAGCTGTATTCGGATAAATAGCCGATTATCCGAGTGACTTTCGGCGCTGTCCATCCTTCCCTATACGGCTAGAAATACGAAAGTACATAGCAGGGCGTCGCCCGACATTGGTGCCCGCCAAGGTCCAGCCTCGCCAGAAGTGGACCTGCAGCTCCCATCCATCCAGCAACACGCAGCTGTCGGGATGCCTAGTGAAGCTCCCGCATGCCATACGACAACCGGAAAGCAACCTCACAACCTCGTCACCAGCTTCACCTCTCCCCACCACTATTGACAACACAAAATAACTGAGACGCCTAGCACTTTAAAGTCGTCTACCCTAATCTGACCCCGGCTCACCACCACCACCCGACATCCTCCCCCCGTTCAGGCCCCGGCGTCTGCCGTCGTCAAAATGGTAACCAAGCTAGCTCCCCCTCTCCACGACCTTCACTTCCCCGTTTCCCAACTCCCCGGGGCCCAGAGCGGCGTGCCTAGGTATGCAATTTACTGACATGGTTCCTCACCTGTCATGACAGACTTCGATAGGAACAGGCTACGACCTGTCCAACTCCATCTTTTCCCCGGACGGCCGCAACTTCCAAGTCGAATATGCCGTCAAGGCAGTGGAGAACGGCGGCACGTCCATAGGAATCCGCTGCAAGGACGGCGTCGTTCTTGCCGTCGAGAAAGTCATCGCCTCCAAGCTCTGGAGGCCCGGTGCAAACAAGCGTATCGCCACCATTGACCGTCACCTCGGTGCTGTACGTCGTCATCCACCTTCATTCATACCCATCCCATCCTATCCCCACCCCCCGTCCCCCGTCCCCCGTCCCACCTGCGCCTTCTTCATCTCGTTTGCATTTTATATTTTCCGTCAAACTAACACAGGGCAAAACCATCAACGTAGGTCTACTCCGGCATGATCCCCGACGGAAGACACTTCGTCGACCGCGCCCGCGACGAGGCCCGCGCCTGGCGCGACACCTGGAAGAGCCCCATCCCCACCGCCGACCTCGCCTCCCGCATGGGCGGCTACCTGCAAGCCTACACCCTCTACTCCTCCGTGCGCCCCTTCGGCATCACCGCCATCGTCGCCGGCTTCGACCCCTCCCAACCCTCCCCCGTCGACGGCGAGGTCGGCCGCGGCCCCTCCGTCGGCCCCGGCGGCGTCAAGGAGGGCCTCACCCACGGCGGGCCCGGCCTCTACATGATCGAACCGTCCGGCCTCTACTGGGGCTACTACGGCGCCGCCACCGGCAAGGGCCGCCAGGCCGCCAAGGCCGAGCTCGAGAAGCTCGACCTCGCCGGCGAGGGCATCTCCCTCGAGCAGGGCGTCAAGGAGGCCGCGCGCATCATCTACGTCGCCCACGACGACAACAAGGACAAGGAGTTTGAGCTCGAGATGAGCTGGATCAGCGATGTCGATGGTCCTACCAAGGGCCGCCATGAGGAGGTCCCTAGGGCCGTCCGGGAGGAGGCGGAGCGGTTAGCCAAGAAGGCCCTGGATGACGATGACGAAGAGGAGGGGAAGAAGGATGATGAGAAGATGGAGGAGTAGTGGCTTCCCTAGCGAATGTTCCCATTCAGGAGACAAATCCACCAGGCCAGAGTCGTTTCGTTACCGTCGTGACCTTAAAACTCGCATCACATTGGCAATCATATGCAGGAACTGTAAGCTCATTTATTGAACAACTAGAAGCAGGCAATGACTCTTTCAACTGTATCCAACCAAGCCAATTCAATCCGATACTGCACGCCCAACATGTTATATACCGCCGCGCCACTTGTTCTGTTTCCGTCAAACTGCCCCAACATCCATCCACATCTGCCGCTAAATGTATGCAAACACAAGTCTATCGCGGTGCTCCACAGCTCTACGCCTTGACAATCCTGCACACAAGGTCGGAGCCATCCACCGAGTCGCCCTCCTTGACTTGCATGTCGGACACCTTGCCGTTGTGCGGCGCTGAGATGACCATTTCCTAGAGAAGAAAAGCCCAAGTTAGAACCGGATTTACCACTCGTAAAGGGGTCAGGGGAGAACAAACCATCTTCATAGCGCTGAGAACGGCGAGCGGGTCGCCCTTCTTCACATCTGCACCCTCCTTGACGCGAAGCTCAACCAACACACCGGCCATCGGCGCGCCGACCTGGCTGGAGTCAAGAGGGTCGGCCTTGGGCCGCGTCAGGTTGGACACCGACGCCTTGCGGTCATCCACCGTCACCTGGCGGACCTCGCCGTTCATCTCGTAGAACACCTCCCTCTGGCCCGTGTTCTCGCTGAGCGGGCCCACCGCCAGGAGCTTGAGGATGAGGACCTTGCCCTTCTCCAGCTCGACGTGGAACTCCTCGCCAATCTCCGACCTGGACAGGAAGTACTTGGTCGGGAGGACCGACAGGTCGCCGTACTTCTGCACGAACTTCTTGTACTCCTCGAACACCTTGGGGTACATGACGTACGAGGCGACGTCCGTCTCCGAGACGGGGCCGCCGAACTTCTTGGCCAGCTCGCGCTTGACCTTGGCAAAGTCGACGGGCTCGAGGAACAGACCCGGCCGCGCGTCGAGCTTGCGGCGTCCGCGGAGAGCGTTCGTCCGGAGCGGCTCGGGGAAGCCGCCGTACGGCTGGCCCATCATGCCCTCCAGGAACTCGAGCACCGATCCGGGGAAGTCGAGTTCGCCCGCTCGCTTCTGCACATCCTCGGGGGTGAGCTTGTTCGAGACCATGAACTGAGCAAGATCTCCGACGACCTTGGAAGTAGGAGTGACCTTGACGATATCGCCCAGGAGCTCGTTGGCTTGCTCGTAGGCCTTCTTGGTCTCGGTCCATTGGGTTCCGAGGCCGAGCTGCGCGGCCTGGAACATCATGTTGGTGAGCTGACCACCGGGGATTTCGTGCTCGTACACTTCGGGGTCGGGGCCGGCGAGGTGAGCCTCGAAGGGCGAGTACAGGAGACGCAGCTGCTGCCAGTACGTGTCGAGGGCACGAACGTGCGCGGGGTTCAGACCGGGGTCCAGATCGCTGCCCTCGAGCGAAGCCATGATGGCGTTGATGCTCGGTTGCGAAGTCATGCCCGACAAGCTGTCGGTGGCGGCGTCGACGGCGTCGGCACCGGCCTTTGCGCAGGCAACCATCGACGCGACACCGGTACCGGCCGAGTCGTGGGTGTGGACGTGGATGGGAAGGTCGGGGTACTTCTCGCGGATGGCGCCGATCAGGAGAGTGGCAGCATGAGGCTTGAGGACACCAGCCATATCCTTGATGCCGAGGACATGGATGTCGAGGGCGACAAGCTTGTCGACCAGGTCGAGATAGTACTCGAGGTTGTACTTCTTCTTGGGGTTGAGCATGTCACCGCTGTAGCAAACGGTACCCTCGACGACACCGCCGGCCTTGTGCACGGCCTTGATGCCGACCTCGAGCTGGTTGATGTCGTTCAGCGCATCGAAGATGCGGAAGATGTCGACGCCGTTCTTCTTCGCCTGGTCGACAAACTGGTCGATGGCATTGTCGGGGAGGGAAGCGTAGGCCACACCGTTGGCACCCCGGAGGAGCATCTGGAAGGGGACGTTGGGCACAAGCTTCCTCATGCGTCGCAGCCTCTCCCAGGGGTCTTCGTAGAGGAAGCGCATGGCAACGTCGAAAGTGGCGCCGCCCCAGCATTCCAAGCTGTAAAGGTTGTGGAGGGCGTGGCTGGTCTCCTTGGCGATGTTCAAGAGATCCACCGTCCGCACACGGGTGGCCAGGAGCGACTGGTGAGCATCTCGCCAGGTGGTGTCCATGAGCAAGCAGCCCTTGTATTCGCGGACTGCCTTGGCGAAAGCCTTGGGGCCTTGCTCCAGGATGATCTGCCTCCACCCGGACTGGCAGGGCTGGGAGACGTCGACCTTGCTGCCGTCGTCGTTCTTGAGCACGGGCAGGATGATATCGCCCTTGAACTTGGGCTCGCCCATCTGTCCCTTGATGCTGCTGCCGTTGACGGCCAGATCGCCGAGGTAGGCGAGCAGCTTCTGGGCACGGTTCTGGCTGCCGACCAAGTCGAACAATTGCGGGGTGTCGTCGATGAAGGTGGTCCAGCAGTTGCCGTCGATGAAGGTGGGGTGGGTGAGCAATGACGCAAGGAAAGGGATGTTGGTCTTGACACCACGGATACGGAATTCGACCAAAGCTCGCAGCATCTTCCTCCTAGCAATCTCGTAGGTGGAGCCTTGGCAAGTACATTTGACCAACATGGAGTCGTAATGGGGAGTGATGACGGCACCGGCAAAGCCGTTGCCACCATCTAGACGGACACCGTTACCGCCGGCGGAGCGATAGACCTCGATCTTGCCCGTATCAGGCTGGAAGCCCTTGGAGGGGTCTTCGGTGGTAATACGGCACTGGATGGCAAAGCCTCGGGTAGAGATGCGGTCCTGGGTGAGACCGAGCTGCTGCAGCGTGGCGCCGGCGGCAATCTGGATCTGAGCAGCCACGATGTCGATGCCTGTGATCTCCTCGGTGATGGTGTGCTCGACCTGGATGCGCGGGTTGATTTCGATGAAGTAGTAGCGGTTCTGCTGGTCGACGAGGAACTCGGCCGTACCGGCGTTGCGGTAGTTGACAGACTTGGCCAGCCTGACGGCGTCGGCAAGGATGGCATCGCGGGTCTCCTGGGGGAGGTCCTTGGCCGGGGCGACCTCGACCACCTTCTGGTGACGGCGCTGGACCGAGCAGTCACGCTCGTACAGGTGCACAATGTTGCCGTGGTTGTCACCGAGAAGCTGCACCTCGATGTGCTTGGGCTTGTCGAGGAAGCGCTCAACGAAGACGGTACCGTTGCCGAAGGCGGACTTGGCTTCGGAGGTAGCCCGCTCGAATGACTCCTTGAGGCTCTCCTGGTCGCGGACGACTCGCATACCACGACCACCACCGCCGTAGGCAGCCTTGATAATGATGGGGAAGCCATATTCGTCGGTAAAGCTCTTCACGGCCTCGAAGGTTTCGACTGCGCCTTCAGTTCCGGGAACAACAGGGACACCGGCGGCGATGGCGAGCGTTCTGGCTGAGACTTTGTCGCCAAGGGAGTCAATGACATCGGGGGAGGGGCCGACAAACTTTCGAAGGAGAGGAATGTTAGTTCCAAGACCAAGGCATTGGAGCCCTGCGAGGCGAGAGTAAGAGTATCGTGGGTATGAATACGTACGATGAGTCCGGCCTTCTCGACGTTACGAGCAAATTCGGCGTTCTCGGAGAGGAAACCGTAGCCTGGATTATGTGGTCAGCCCATCCCGAGACCCTTTATAGCTCGCAGAAAAATTGTGTAGCAAAGGCGTTGCGCACCAGGGTGGATCATCTGAGCGCCATGCTCGACGGCGATCTTGATGATCTCGTCGCCAGCGAGATAAGCTCCGACAGGGGTGTATTGGCCTCTTTTGCCGATGACGTAGGCTTCGTCGGCCTCTGCAATCGCATTGGTCAGCTGCTTGTGTATCGCATGTGGGGATGGGATGGCAGATTGAGAGCTCAGATCTTGAGCTCAGAGGGTGAGGGTGACAGAGGATGGCTTACTTTGCCTGTGCATGCTGAGACGGTCCTCATAACTGCAAAGAAGTTAGTACAAAAATGCGCCCAGATGCGCACGGAATAGGGTATCGGTTGGCGTCACCTGAAAACGGCAATGGTTTGTAGAGAAAGCTCGTGAGCCTAGAGTGAAATGAGTCAGCAACGGGGCCGCCAGGGGGGAGGGTGCGCAATCCGAGGCTTGCCGGGAAAGTTGCTTACCGTCCTGAAGATCTGTTAAAAAAAACAAATGTGAGTATCTTTAGCCAGCACTAAGAAAACAGCGAGGAAGCACAAAGCGCAAGATCGAGACATACTCGAATAGCTGGGCCATGTTATTAGCAATGCCATATGGGCCAAGGAAGAAAATATAACAGAGCATCAAGGTAGAGAGAATACTCACGGATTTCACCACGGTTGGCGACTGATTGCAAGAGGAAGACCGATGTTAGCAAGAGAACTACCAGCATGATCACCAAAGATCATGACAAAGGAAGAGAAGACAGGAGCTCTCGTGGAGAGGCGCGAGCAAGCCTGGTCAAGGGACGTGACGCACCTAGAAGCTTCTTCAATTGCATGATGCTAGAATTGGCTCGAATGTGGTGAATGCTCTGGCCCTCCTTGGGGGCATCCTCCTCCTCGAACACATCGGTGAAAGTCACCGGTGACTGGGCCATGATGGCGATCTAGGTTGAAGGAGGCAGAAGGCGGCGGAGAGCAGTACGGTCTGAGAGAGGAAGCTGGCAGGAGGGGGAAGTTCGGGAGAGGACTGTCGAGATGGTGGCCAGCGGGGGGGGGGAAGAAGAGAATTTGAAGAGCTCGTTTTTTTAGGGGGAGGGTTTTTGACTTGGGAAAAGATACCAAGAGAGACAGACGTCTTGTGTCGGCGGCGGCGTGCGGCGTGCGGTGCGCAGCTTCTTTCTGGTGGGGGCGGGGGCGTTCGCGGCTAGCCCTTGAGCAGGCTGATCAACTGTGATAGTGGGAGCAAGGGCGGGGGAAGGGGGGTCGGTGGCAGCCTGTACCGGAGGTGTGTGTCTAATATGTACCATTAGCTATGATGTTTTTGGCGGTGCGACGTACTGTAGTGGGGTTCCTCGACTCGATTTGCCGACCAAAAAAAGGGGGGAGATCTCGTGAAGAACCCAGGGCTATGTATTAGCTCGGCCCGAGCTTGGGTCATGCATTGCACTCAAAACTCCGTATGACAGACCACTTGAATGAATACTCGAGTGAGGGCGCGGTTGGGTAAGGGAAGAACAAAGCAGGACATACGAAGTATACCTAAATTTAACAAGGTAGGGTGGACGGATGCCGGTACACCTACTACCTTACCTTTACTCTGTACGTGTAATTGTGAGGTATGTCCTGCGTATGCCAAGTTGCGATGTACTCTGTCTGAGGTCGTCGTGAAAGGCCAAAGCAAAAAGGTTCACCCACGACAACGAATGTTTGATTTAAACAGCAAGGAAAATCAAAAGAACAGAAAACAAATGAGACTGCTTCGAGGCTCAGAGGACCGAGGGAGGGTTTTGTAATCTTCAATCTGCCCAAATATCTGCCCACGTTCTCTACGAAGGCTGTCGTCGGTCTAAGACCCATGGATCAGATCAAGTGGCACAACTCAACTTGGTACTACCTAAGGTAAGGTAGGTATGTATAAGGTACTTCCGGAACAGAGATCCTGGCTGGCGGACCTTAAAAGGTTCTGTATCCCTACCTGCCCGTGTGCACAGGGATAGTGGTTCACCTAGCAGCCACCCCCACCCTGCCTGTTTTAGTTTTCTAACTTCTCGTACGGAGTACATATATATTTCTGGATTCTTATCTGGGAGATCTACCAAGCCGAAGGCAGAGCCACAGTGCTTGTACCCCATCAAGGATGATCTCGATGCGACGAATCCATCTTCGAGTACCTAGTCAGTATTTTGGGGATATTTCCTGGGAGGCCGCGGCAAATATCCGCACAGCACATGTGTCCGCTGGAAGCTGGAAGATACACAGCCTGGGGCGACCACAAGATGCATGTTAGAACCACCCTATGTCTGCATGCAGCATGAGAAACAGCGTTATAGGGGAGAAGAGGTACTACGTAGTACAACTCTACTTAACATCCCCATGTTACGGCGCGGGGGCCCTTTCCCATGGTTAACCTCCATTCTGGGTTCACGCGGGTTGTTCGCCGCCTCCGTACAGAGTTACTTTCGTATAGAATCTGGGGCTTCAGAATAATGCTTCTGAGCCTCGGTGTAGGTAGATCAGATCAGTTACAACTGGCTCATGCTTAATGGCCATGCGTTTCGTTCGATTGCGCATGTTCCTTTCGATAAATTATACTTATCCTTGAAGACACCGGCGGTCGATTCATCCCGTGGATGGGAATGGGAATTCGGAAAGATGTTGGTTGAACAAGTCTTACACTTCTTCAGAGGCTACCGTCGGCACTCCGTCACAACTTTTGCGTGCCTCATGGCTATCGGGTGTCACCATTGACTAGGTAACCAAGAAGCTCTGCTAGTGTCTCGAATGCCTTCGAGCGAAGGTACAGATACCTACCCATCTATCATCGTCTTCGAATCACCAACGGCCTGTCTCATCTCAGCCCAGGGAGGGAAAGAGATGCTAGCTCAAGTCCGCCCCCTGTATCACACCCTTCGTCTGTCGGGTTGGAAACGCCTAGAGGACGGGAATAATGCCCGAGAGACCATATACTACCGAGGACAACTTCAGAATAGCCCTTTTTTAGACCCTCATCAGTCGTGTTCCGGCTGTTCCCGTATCATTCCCGTTCCATCGTGAACGTCGGTAGAACTCGCCGCGATATCAGATTCCAACGAAGGCACTAAAATGCGGGGTGCCGTGGCAGCAGCAGCTATCAGCCTCGGTCAGTTTTCCGACACGGGCATCGGTCTCCAGGTCGCCTTGAAGGCAGGTAAGGTAGACTCTCGTCTCTCCTTATCCCTTCACCGTTATGTTATCGTCAATCTGACCGAGGTATAAGTGAAAGTGTCCGCAGTACACGTATGGAGACGGTGTCTACCTACCTACCTCACTCACCTACCTTAACTTATGGAGTACCTTGGTCCAAGGCCAATTAATTTGGACCCATTCATTTCAACCATCCCACCCCTCCCAAGAATCAATGATGTCGCCTGCAGCATGCCATGGAAGTCACCGACATGCCCATGTGGACACCTGCATTTTCTCACTCTCCCCCTCCCGCGCACACTGCTTCTTCTGGGTTCGTCTTTTCCCATCAATTGAGTCACAATGGCATTTGCGCCAGCACACTGTATGTAAAAATCGCTCCGCTCTGCGCGCTTCAGTCCAGACCCCCCATGAGGTATTAATGCCCTTGCTATCCCACGCCCTCCTGGAAATGCTTTTTTTTCCAATTGGTCAGGCTAGTCTCGACGCCGCCATGTTAGTCAGGGCAAGCAGCGTGGTCGTTCGAATCTCTTACGTCGCGTAATTCCCCCAACTCCGACCTCGGCAAGGTGGACCTTGGAGTAACGTAGTCGCAAGATGGTTGGGTGACTTTTTCATGGGGTTAGTCTCTTGTGAGAAGGCCGGGGTCGGTTCAATTGACGATAGCGCAGTAGCCGGCCGCTGTGCCGCATGGCTGCAACTTGGTTTAACGGCCTGCCATTGGACAGAGACGCAATTCTGGAAGGCATCACCACCGATTCACCGTGATCTACTTCCTAATACTTGTCGTGGTGGCTCAACTTGAAATCGGTGGGCTTGTTATATATTATATATATATATATATATATATATAAGTGTTTTGCCAAGTGAGTCGTGTACGTGTAGGCCATAATACCTTATGTTAAGCTTTTCTCGACTCGCATATCACCTGTTCTTGGTTGTTAACTTTTCATCAACTTTCTTGACGTCGTGTCTTGGCCACACCCGCGTGACTGTCGTCGGTGGAGGCGGCTGGATAGGTCCCGATCTCTCTCTTCCCTCCGCTATATTTTCTTATTTTTCTTCTTTTTTGCCTTCTTTCGTCTCTATTTTATGTGTGTCTACATACTTGCAATGTGACATGTCTCATTGATCTGTAACTCCAAATGCATCATTCTACTGTCCAATCACCCAAACGAACATGGTTACTTCAGTCGCAAGCCCTCTGACGTATCCCCGCGCATCTCCCGAACCGCCGAAGCGCGGCTTCGTCCTCAAGTAACCTTCACCAACATAATTTGAGACTTAGGCTAGGTGTTTTCTCAACGTCATTGTACGGAGGACACAGGTGCAACGCCTCGTTGCTTTTGAACCCCCGATTCCGATGAGCTGAACACCTCCCAGCAGAGCGTCTTGGAGCAGGGCCAGCGAAGTGTCCTATCGGAGCTATCGCTGGATTCGAGCAGGAAGAGTTATCCATCACGGGCATCGTTTCTTGTTGACCTATATGCTATAGGTGCCCTTCTGGCGGTGACTACTTATGTTAGTCCGTGGAAGTCTGACGGCTCAACCCCCCTTTCCAAAACATAATAAAACAAAATACAATCGCCCAGCAAACATCACGATCAAATTCTAGTGCCCATGTTGCAAGAAAAAAACGTGCTTTGCTATCATTGGTGTTGTTGGCCAGTTGAGGCTACTCCTGTGCCTCTGTATATTGGTTACGACAAGAGGATAGCTCCCCGGTAAGAGACCCAAATAATAGCATGATGCTATGGACAACTTCCTCTGCCCAGAGCAGTCGTATGCACAATCTGCGGCGTCTCTGCCTGACAGAATCCTTATGCTGCTACTTGACTGCATTCCGATGAAGGCGCACAGGGATAAACCACTGCCGCAAATGTCGTCTATCGCCACCGCTTCTCCTTCCATGTCTGAGATTTTTACACCCGAACTGGCCGGACCGCTCCCTTCACCGTTCCCGGGAACACGGGACAGAGGGACACTTATTTGCTGGCCGCCTCCTTTACCGCGGCCTCAACCTTGCCCACAGCCGCGGCGGGCTGACTCGGGCTCGCAGCCTCCGCCTCCTGCTTACCACCCCAGTGGTGCCATTTCATGTAGCGATATCCCTGTGTGAGCTGCGACCCTTCGTTGACGAAGTGGCAGAGGAAAAGGAGGTAGTTCTTCGGCGTAACGGCTAGGGAGTAGCGCATGAAAGTCGCGGAGTAGATAATAAGGGCGCCCGTCATCTGACCCGAGATCCTATGTGAGGGAAGAGAAGCGCAATGGTTAACGTTTGGCTGGTTAGAGGGCAAAGGGAAGATCAGATTATCGACCCGTTTTGGGCCAGTTGGCGGTAGGTGTTTGGCATTGGAAACTTACAGGTCCGGCGACTTTTGGGTGTCCAAGACGGCTGCCACAGGAATACCAAAGTTGGAGGCAGGACCCCAGAAATCTAGCCAAGCGAACCAGGTCAGCGCATATCCCAGCAGTCGATGAAACGTAACGCGGCTCAAGCCTAGGGCCGTCCTGGAGGTTCTCTGTGGCCAAAACAACGTCGCCCCGGCAGCATTGCATCGTCAATTTTCGGTTGGGTTATTCGATGTGACAACTGCAACCCCAAGAGACGGATGCCGAATTGAATACTAGTCCCCCTCTTCTCTTCTCCAGTAAGGGCAGCCTCCCGCCAGTGCCTCCATAATTGATTGAACAGAACGTACGTGTTGAGCAGAGGTAGTCGAGCGCTGGGTTGGCTCGGATCCGAGCATTGATCGCCTTAATAAAGGCAGCCATGGCGATTGCTGATTTCGAGCGTTCAACCGGTTTACTGGTGACGTGAGTGACGGAGACGGTGAGTCCAAACCAGGTCCGACGAGGTTCGAGATAGGAACGTTGGTTACTTCTTGGAGCTCCAGATTCAGTCGGAGTTGGATCGGAACGTCCCCAATTCGTGGAGGCCAGAATTTGCGGAGACAGGGATTAGCAATCAGGGAGATAAGCCTTGATGATTGGAGGATCACGTGGCCCCTGTCCAGTTGCGCTGCCTTAATATTCAGGGGAAGTTACAAGCTCCGTACTCCGGCCCGTGCTGCATTCATTGCTACGACGTCCCACGAAGTCCGAGCTTCACATTTGAACAGTCTTGGAGGATTCATCGACCGATTGAGCGGCATAGTTATAGTGCGAGTTAAAACCATACGGCAACTAAGCAGTCAGGAGACGTATGATACGAGCCGATTTCTGATCATTATGACCCTGGGCATGAGGCAAGGGTAATAATTGTGGGATCTCGTCTACCTCGTGTTTAAGATACCAAAGATTGTTCCAAGAGCGATCGATGTTCATATTCGGTCCCGTTTTCATTTCTAGAGCGTGGGACTTGCGCTACACTGCCTGCGCTTTCCTGCCCAGCATGGTAGCTGGTATACTTTGACCACCCAAACGCCAAATAACACAACCTGGGGGGAAAATGCAACTGGTCGCCATTTCCGACAAAGCCAATAAATACTCTCATCTTCTAGGAGGGGGGTTGAATCCAGGCGGGGCACCAGGGGCTCCGGGTGCACCAGGAGGACCAGGTGGGAATCCAGGAGGGAATCCGCCGCCTGGAGCGCCAGGGAAACCTGGTGGAGCGAACGTAGGAGGGAAGCCAGGTGGAGGGCCTAGATAGAAGTTAGGAGGGTGCAGTGTGAGAAAGGGGAACATGCATAACCTACCTCCACGTCCAAGGAAGGGAGGAGCCCCGGGGAATTGAGGCATTCCAGGAGGCGGTACGGCGCCGCCGACGCCAACAGCTGGACCCTTTGATGAAGTCAGTATGATTTGGACGCTCATTCGGAAGCAGGCGACTTACGGCTAAAGATGGGGGCGCTACAGCTCCCCTACCTGCAGGGCGAGCGACACCAGGACCGGCAGCCAGAGTGGAGGGAATCCCGCCAGTCGTTGTCTTTCCAAGTCGAGCACTGGGATCTGCTGGAGGCTCCGACTCGACCGATAGCGAAACAATCTGCGCTCCGCGTACGATAGTAAGACCGAGCGTTCGTTTCTCTTCCGATTCGATGACCTGGCCAGTGGATCCGCTTGACCCAGGAACTGCGGACTTGTTCTGCTTGCGCTTGACGCGTCGAAACTCTTCGGTATCGGCGAGTACGAGGTTCATGTGCTAAAGGGACAGTTAGTTGCCTGTGGGGAATTGTTTCGTAGATGTACTCAGATGCCACCTACCTTATCGAATGCGAGCATCTGGCCGACCATCTGACGGCCATCAACGACTGTGACCCTCATCCGGTAGTTAATCTGTCCAAGAGCGTTAACTGGCTTGCCGTCTTAATTGAGACCCAGTGTTATGTGCGCCGCGAGCAGAGAATCTGAGGGACTACATACGTAACCGGCCTATTCAGAAGTCACATGGGGAGTTAGCCTACAATGTCAACCTCGAGACTTGAGAAAGGAGATGGAAAAGGCGGGGACAAACTCACCATCTTCCCTTGTTTGTTCGCCATGGTGACGGCGTTGTATGGGAGGGGCCGCTGTTGCAGCTCCTCCTGTAGATCAAAAAATTGTTCTTGTATATGCAGATGTCAAGGTGACGTCCGCGAGACCTTCGAATGCTTCCGTTGGCAGCGCTCGTTCAAGGTCCTGGTGGTTATGTCGCCAGAACAGGAAATTTGCGCCACGTCGCAAGGCGGAAGGAAGGCTGAAGCTCTAGTTTGGAGCTCTATACGGAATATCTTCGGGAAATAAAGAAGGCTAATCCTGTTCAGGAGTAGTGGGGCTCGTGGCCCACCCTGGAACAACGTTGGCTTGGAGGTGAGGGTTCGAAACCCTCTCAAAAAATTGGCTGTGGGGGGGAAGTCACTTCCATTGTATATTGAAACTTTTCGGCTGCCAGCTCTACTCAACCTCCTTGACCAGCGACCGCGACAATTCGACAACCCAACCCCTCCACGACGTCGACAGCAATCCCGGCAAAATGGCATCTGAGAAGGCCCAGAACCCCATGAGGGAGCTTTACCTCCAGAAGCTCGTCCTCAACATATCCGTCGGCGAGTCTGGTGACAGACTCACCCGCGCCGCCAAGGTGCTGGAGCAGCTGTCGGGTCAAACCCCCGTTTACAGTAAGGGAGTCTCGAGCGAAGTTGTGTGAAGGTTGGTGCAGGGAAGCTGACGCGGCGGAATTGACAGGCAAGGCTCGTTATACCGTCCGTACCTTCGGTATCCGTCGTAACGAGAAGATTGCTGTCCACGTCACTGTCCGCGGCCCCAAGGTACGATATCCCACTTCTCTCCATGCCATTTCCGGAGCTCATATTAACGAGTGCGTCTGCAGGCTGAGGAGATTCTCGAGCGTGGCCTCAAGGTCAAGGAGTATGAGCTGCGCAAGCGCAACTTCTCCGAGACTGGCAACTTCGGCTTCGGTATCAGCGAACACATCGATCTCGGCATCAAGTACGACCCCGGCATTGGTATCTACGGCATGGACTTCTATTGCTGCATGACCCGCAAGGGCGAGCGTGTCTCTACCCGCCGCCGCGCCAAGGCCAGCATTGGTTCCAGCCACAAGATCAAGCGGGCTGAGACCATGAAGTGGTTCAAGCAGCGCTTCGATGGCATCATCCGGTAAATGCGATCATGAATTGGGGGATTGTCACTGGGACGGTGAAGGAACGGGACGGTTTTTTTCTGGGACAAGGCGAAACGGACAAAATGGCTTTTAGGCGTGTATTTTCTCGCTGCTAGCAGCAATCTTCATCCGGCTTGATCGAAAGTTCTCGATCGAGCTGCGGCCTCAGAGACCGACCGGCACCCTGCCGGCTTCCCACCTTGCATGATATTGTCTTGGCCGAATGCTGGGAAGACCATGACACAATGTTATTCTGTGATGCAAAGGCAGCACTGTGAGTTTGCGTAGAGTGGCCTCACCGCATATGTTGAGCCAAGTCAGGACTAGAGCTTCGTGTAGCAGCGATTCGAAGGAAGGTTCATATAGGATGGTAAGATTGGTAGCGGCACCTATGCGCTGCTGAGGATATCTCTTGCGTAAAATACCTATCCAAGTCAAGATTCTTGCCAATGAAACAATACTGTACGTTGTATGATAGATTAGCCTTGACCACGAACCCGAACTACCCATTCAAATATGTTCTCTTCAAGGTTTTCAGCTCATGGAGAAATGCAGAGACGGCGATTGACCCAGTTGCATAATGAAGAAATGAACAAGAACAGAGGTGGAAAAAAAGGAAATTAAACAAGACCATCCACGCCTGATTTCGACTGCAAAGAAGTTCATCTCGCGAAGCTCGGCCAGAACTTTCGATATGCCCAAATTTGGCCTCAGCGGGTTGGCGGAAAAGCGAGGGCCCGAAGTTTGTCAGCTGGCCGAAACAAATTACAGCCTCAGGCTACCATTTCCTGGGGCGGTTCGGGTTGAGAAAATTGTTAAGGGTCAGGGAGTTCTCGGAGACCGGGCGAGCAAAATCTGGGCAATAGAACATTTTGATTGGACCCCGGTACAACTGCGGCTCCACCTGAATCCTCCCCATTCTCACTCGCTCTCTCTCGCTCACCTTTTCCCTCAGCCGGGCCTTTCCTCCCAAAAAGACTCCATTTGCTCTTCTGCAAAGTCACCATCGAAACGTCCCCCATCTCCCCTCCCATCTCAATTGCACCAGTTGCAATTGATTCTCCTCTGATCTAGACCTTGTTCAAGATCTTCTAATATGTTCCGCAACGCCCTACGCCAGTCGACGCGTGCCGTCGGCGCCGTCTCTGCCGCTGGCAGAGTCGCTGCCGTAAGTCGTCTTCCCTATCCCCGAGTCGGTCCCAATTTCATCAAAAAAATCGGTCTTCCCACTCAGCAACCTCCAATGGCGTCTTCCCGACATCAATTGATGCGCTGGACCTCGTCGTGACGATGGGTTCAAGCTTTTTCAAAGCTTCTTTGATGCTCTGTCGTCGTTGCCCGTGCTGGGGGGGGGGGGGGGGTGGAGGTCGATACATTTTTCGGGCTTCGGCTAACTTGTTTTTTTCCCCCAACGTGCGTAGACCCGAAATGCCGCACCCGCCGTCACCGTCGCGTCCATCCAGTCCAGGACCTACGCAGAGGCCAAGGCATCACCGACAGAGGTCTCCTCTATTCTCGAGCAGCGGATTCGTGGCGTTCAGGAAGAGTCTAATCTCGCTGAGACTGGTCGTGTTCTTTCCGTCGGGTAGGTCTTGGCATGAATAAACTGCAACCCCCAAGGCGTCAATGCTGGACATCAACCATATTGGCTGCCCCAACGCTACGAAACGGCAACGCATTCAGGGTCCTATTTTGGTATTGGCATGCTGACGATTTTTTTTTTCTACTTCATAGTGATGGTATCGCCCGTGTGCACGGCATGGCCAATGTCCAGGCCGAGGAACTTGTCGAGTAGGTCATCGAAAAAAGTCCAACAAATCTCAAGCAACGTCTGACACGGAAAACAGGTTCGCGTCTGGCGTCAAGGGCATGTGCATGAACCTCGAGGCCGGCCAAGTCGGTGTTGTGCTTTTCGGTTCCGATCGTCTCGTCAAGGAGGGTGAGACCGTCAAGCGTACTGGAGAGATTGTGAGTCCATGTGCCACTACATGGTGGGGGATGCGATGCAGGCAAAGACTGTCAACTAACTATGACACAGGTCGACGTCCCCGTCGGCCCCGAGCTGCTCGGCCGTGTCGTCGACGCTCTCGGCAACCCCATTGACGGCAAGGGCCCTCTCAACGCCAAGGAGAAGCGCCGTGCTCAGCTGAAGGCGCCTGGCATTCTGCCTCGCAAGTCCGTCAACCAGCCCGTCCAGACCGGCCTCAAGTCGGTCGACGCTATGGTTCCCATCGGCCGTGGCCAGCGTGAGCTGATTATCGGTGACCGTCAGACCGGCAAGACTGCCGTCGCTCTGGATGCCATCCTCAACCAGAAGCGCTGGAACTCTGGCAACGACGAGACCAAGAAGCTCTACTGCGTCTACGTCGCCGTCGGCCAGAAGCGGTCTACCGTCGCCCAGCTCGTCAAGACCCTGGAGGAGAACGACGCGATGAAGTACTCCATCGTCGTCGCCGCCACCGCCTCGGAGGCCGCTCCCCTTCAGTACATTGCCCCCTTCACCGGTGCCTCGATCGGCGAGTGGTTCCGTGACAACGGCAAGCACTCCCTGGTCATCTACGACGATCTGTCCAAGCAGGCCGTTGCCTACCGCCAGATGTCCCTGCTGCTTCGTCGTCCCCCCGGCCGTGAGGCTTACCCCGGCGACGTCTTCTACCTGCACTCCCGTCTCCTGGAGCGTGCTGCCAAGATGAACGACACCCACGGTGGCGGTTCCATGACTGCCCTGCCCATCATTGAGACCCAGGGTGGTGACGTGTCTGCCTACATTCCCACCAACGTCATTTCCATTACCGACGGCCAGATCTTCCTGGAGTCCGAGCTCTTCTACAAGGGTATCCGTCCCGCCATTAACGTCGGTCTGTCCGTCTCGCGTGTCGGCTCCGCCGCTCAGCTCAAGGCCATGAAGCAGGTCGCTGGTTCGCTCAAGCTCTTCTTGGCCCAGTACCGTGAGGTCGCCGCTTTCGCCCAGTTCGGTTCTGATTTGGATGCCGCCACAAAGCAGACCCTTAGCCGTGGCGAGCGCGTAAGTTCTGACAACGTTCCCCCCTTTTTTTTTGTTCCTGGTGGTACTAACGCATCTGCAGTTGACCGAGCTCCTCAAGCAGAAGCAGTACTCTCCCATGGCCGTCAACGAGATGGTTCCCCTCATCTACGCCGGTGTCAATGGTTTCCTCGACCCCATCCCCGTGAGCAAGATTCTCCAGTGGGAGGCCGACTTCCTTGCCCACCTCAGGACCAACGAGTCCGAGCTTCTTGCGACCATCGACAGGGAGGGTGCCCTCAGCAAGGACCTCGAGGCCAAGCTCAAGGACGTGACCGAGTCCTTCATCAAGAGCTTCCTTGCTTAAACCACCTTTTACTGTAACGGGGTAATAGAAGATGCAGAAGCGATTGGCTGGATGTAGGAAGGAGCGAGATGAGGAGCTGTCTATACCGAAGTGATTTTATTAGTTTTCTCGGAGCGGCGGGAGGACTACTCGACGGGTGCACGGCACTGGAGAGAAGCACCTGGGGAGGCATTGTGGAGGGAGAATCTCCAGTCGAACCACTTGTAAAATAGAGCTTAAGACTCAATTAACGCCCTCGAATTCCTTTTGTCCTTGAATCTCTTGCTTCCTGTGGCTATGGCCTTTCGTGTATTTGGGTGTTTCGTTCTGTAACTTACTTAATACTTGTCTTTGCCTACCTACCTACCTACCTTACCTTACCTACCGTAAGGTACCTTATGTTAACCGGTTGCCTGTTAGGGACACTGAAAGACCCACGACATAAGTAACTCCCTTCTGACATCATCCACTGGCAAGCCAAGTCTTCCCCTGCCACCCGCCCCCCCTCCCCGCTACCTCACCTTATTGCCATTGCCAACCTCTAGTCTGCACACCTACGGATACTTCTTTATTTCATAGGAAACGCCAGTCAATCTCAAGCTTCAGTTGGCTTCCCTTTCACAGTCGCTTCTATTTCTTCTGCCAATACCTTGACTGCTCTCTCTTTGTCGTGCATCCACGAGCTACCTGCGTCTCCTGCGACAGCCATCCTCCCATCTAATCTAGTTCCGTACCTACGAAGGAAGGCTACCGACCAGAGACAAACAATGACCATAGATTCCAAGCCGCCCGAGATGTCTGCCGCAACAAAAGAGGTTCTGGGTCGCGTGAGACGGATGATCCCTCCCATGCTAAACCACTTCCATAAAGGTGCCGTAAACCCCGCCGCACGTCAAACCAACAGCATGAACCTGTGAGAGGAGATAGACCAGTACAGAACTGGCTGACTCGGTTTTCGTTATCTGTAGGCCAGATGGGCCGGGTCGGTGTTCTAGGCGGTAGCGAAGACTACACCGGTGCGCCATATTTCTCGGCCATGGCCAGCGCACGACTGGGTTGCGACATGGTATGATCGCCCTGTATTCAAGTTTCCCGCCTCGACCGGGCCAGGCTTCCTTCGAGACAAAGGCAAGGAAACAGCTGCTGACATTCAGTTTGTCTTCCCGAGTATTCCAGTCCCACGTCATCTGCACACCAGCCGCAGCAGCCGTCATCAAGACCTACTCACCGAACCTCATGGTCCACCCCCTCATGCGCCAGTCCCCCCCTCGCGGCAGCACGGTCCAGGCCATGGCCGACAAGAACAGCAAGGACCCGGACGAAGACCCGGAAGACATCGCGGCCGCCGTGGCCGAGATGCTGCCGCGGCTCCACGTCCTGGTTATCGGCCCGGGCCTGGGCCGGGACCCCCTCATGCAGGAGACGGTGGCGCGGGTGCTGCGGTCCGCGCGCGAGCGCAACCTCCCCGTCGTCCTGGACGCCGACGCGCTGCTCCTCGTGCAGAAAGACCCGTCGCTGGTACGGGGCTACGGGAACGCGGTCATCACGCCCAACGTCGTGGAGTTCGGGCGGCTCTGCAAGGCGCTCGGGGTCGAGGAGCAGGTGGCCCGGGCGGAGGACAAGGGGGGCGAGACGGCCCGCGTGGAGGCACTTGCTAAGGCGCTGGAGGGCGTCACGGTCATACAGAAGGGCGGGGTGGATTACATCTCGAACGGGACGACGACGCTGGCTGTCGATCTCCCGGGGGGTAGGAAGAGGAGCGGGGGCCAGGGAGATACGATGACCGGGTCGGTGGCTACGTTCCTCGGATGGAGGAAGGCGTATCTTGATGGGATCTGGGATCGCGGGGACGACCTTCTCAGCGAGGAGGAGATGCTTGGTCTTGCCGCATTTGGGGGGAGTGCTATCACGAGGGTAAGTCGAATCGCAAAAGCCCAGCCTGTTTTGACTTTTCCTTATCCCTTCCCCTTTCTCCGCCATTCTTTCCGTATGAGGAAGACTTGGGACAACGAATGTCGGGTCTAACGGGCCTTATCTGTGTCTAGGAGTGTTCGCGACTGGCGTTTGCAAAGAAGGGCCGGAGTTTGCAGGCCAGCGACCTGACTGACGAGGTGCATAACGCTTTCATGAATCTGTTTGGCGAGATAGATGAGGATGCTGGAGGTTCCAAGTTGTAATTGGTGCCTTTAATGTGCCACAAGTATGAAGTTCGAGATCCACCTATGGAAGTGTGGCCTCGAATAGATTTCGTCCATCTCAGGTGCGAGAGATCAGAAGTGTGACATGTAACAACATTGTCCTAGTGAGCCGTTATTTTTGATCGGTTCACCAGAGGTCGCTCATGTACTTTTCGTCTGTCAGATCAGTGATGTTGTTGGCACCTCAGCCAACGTTGCTGATGTCCCTACTTGCTGGTCGTGTAGGTAGCCACGGCACGTCAGATCTTCCTCGACGGTTGGGAAGATAGATGACCAACTTGTGTCATTTATCACATTACAGAATATACATGCGAATTTGGGGCCCTATGAGGCTTTTTTGTTCCCACGTCATCGCCCATTTCGCAAGGGCGAACTGACACGTCCTGGCAAAGGTATGCCTAACTAGAACATCCCTCGTTCCAAGACGGTCGTTTAAAACCAACTCAGTAGTGTCTCTGCGCAAGGGATACGACGGTTTATGCGCGCTACATGAGTCTTCTCCTCAACGGTCCTAAAAACTCCGCTGGCAACTCGGGGAAAACTGACATCATCGGACTCGACCGTCTTGGTCAGCCACTACCGATCCTAGACATGAGCATCCTGTAAGCTGCACGATCCGGCACCCATGTTGAAGTCTCAGCGGCGGATGGAGCAGCAAGGGGGATCATTGGCTCAAGTGGAGACACGATGGCCGAGCCAGCATTCCCGTGACTCGTGTGAGGGAAGAGCCGAGGACTATTATTGAAGATGATACACGGGGGGTCAGAAGATGGATAATATCAAGCGGTGCAATGGGACGGTAGGACGGTAGGACGGTAGGACGGCTACGAGGGTGATATTTGAGCATTTGGGTTCGTAATCAAAACAGCGAAATGTCTCGGGTGGTGAGAGCTTCTTGTTCTTCTTCTTCTTGGCCGCCGCCGACTTGCATACGGGGAAGCGTCCCGATTTTGTGGCCTCCACTCGATGTCTCTTCAAAGACATCCAGCCCTCTTTCTTCGTGTCCAAGGGAGGGAAGACTCGGAGAGATGCCAACGAGAGACATGCTGCTCTTAGCGGGATCGACATGTCATGTATCAGCCCGGGGAAGCCTCCCAGGCCCAGTTTACGATGAGAATTTGCTTCCCCCCCCCCCTGAGCTGTGGAGAGCTGACTCGAATGGCAGTGCGATGTCCAGACAGAGTTCTCGAAGATGCCGGGCTGAGGCGATCGGTCCTTCGGATCAACAGAATGCGGCCAACGCCTAGTAACTGGCCTGCACTGCATGATCCAATAGTGGATGATCACCCTACATACCTAGACAGATTTCGGCATGCACTACGGCTGCGGTTATTCTGGTTCTTGGACTAGATCGGGAGGATTATTGCTTTTTCTTCCGGGCGTGTGGTTGACGGTTGCGCGATCTAGACCACACTGCTAGCCAAGAGAGAGAAAAGCAATGATTTCATGAAGCAGCTTGCCCTTTTTTGGGGTGGTCTTGTCCGAAAAGATTCTGTCACTTTTTTTGTTGTTCATTTTTGGACCGAAGCTAGAGCCACTATCCATCGCGTTGGTGCAGGAGGGAGAGAAGAGAGAGACTAGGTGATACCTACGTCCATACCTACACACAGAATGACCAAGGAGCCCGCGTTTCAACCCCTCGGGCCCAACGACTGCTCAGACGCCGACGGGAAACGAGGATGTCAAGTGTGTGCCGGCCATCGCGAGAGGACAAAGCGGAACGCTCTGATAAGGCTAGAAGTTATGGATTCATTTCTGCCCCCATCAAAGGAGGGACGAAGTCGATATTCGGAGTCGGGGTGGTTTGTCGAAAAGACCCGGCTCTCGGACCCCATAAACCCCCATGCAGCTCGCCAGGGCGAGGATTCAGAACATGGGTCCGTGCTATACTCCTGCATGCTGGAGATATTCGTAAGGTGGCGGCGAAATTGAATTCCATGGCTAGTTATGGACGCAGTATTATCATGAGAGATGGATGGGAAGAAGCGAGCCATTGACGATAAGCAGCAGCATAATTTTGGATGAGAAAAAGAAAAGAGGTAGAGTAGACGAAAAAAGCAAAAAAGCAACGATGTGGAAGTGGAAGATCCCGAAGTGTCGGGTGCGGGTGGAAGTTGGGACGAGGTGAAGGGGGAGTTGATGTCCGAAAGAAGAAAAGTACCTCAGGAAAAGATGAAAATGGGTAATAATTGTTACTGTGCCGGCCATCGATTTCCATTGGGCTTGCGATAGGTACGTAATTTAGTAAGATACCTAAGGTAGGTAGCGACCTATTGCCTTAAGGTACCTTATTCTGTAGGCATCTTAGCATGTTACCGAGTCTTCCCCGGTCCGTCTTCCCTCCCGCTCTCCCGCTGTCATTGCGTGGGAATTATGGCATGTGACTCTGAAGTGCTGCTGTACAAATACGGGCTACCCGTACGGAATACAGCCACTTTGGCTCGGACGCTGTCACACTGCCGAGGGCTATGTACAAAACACGAATAATTTGGCAGTTGTGATAGTGCGAACAAAGGGAACAGAGACCTAAGATGATAAAAAGTACGTACGTTGTACAGTGATATTCCGTAAGCTGTCAGAATCAAGGAAACAACCCGGTAAATAGTCTGTCCAGAATTCGCCTAGCTCCAACGGCAGGGACGCCGCTAAACCCCCGCTAAAGCCCCAGTCCCAGCCACGCGTTTAGGGCCAACTCACCATTGGACGACCCGAAAGGCACAGGCGCTCGGTACCTTTCGAAGGGTGTCTATCACCTCCGCACGGTCCCATTGTTAGCAGTCGACCGAAAATTTGGCTTATCCCGCAGCTTTGGCGCCGGGTCCTAGACGTTCGACACACATACAACATAGTCAGGGTCAAACAACGTACTTTCGTATTACGTTGTACACGTACAATTTACCGGCACATCATTATCGCTGGGACATAATAACTTACAGACTGGACGATGGGCCTCGCCTTCTTTAAGCTGACCATCGACTAGCCTAGATGTTGGATTAGGCTAATAGGAAAGCAACGATGGCCCTACGCTTGTTCGCTTACGGGTTACCCACTTGGAAGGAATGCTGCTGATAACTGCTCTGTACATCTTCGCCCCCCACGATCCATGGTATCACGTCAACAGAATGACAGGGGTATAAATCCGGTACCTGGGAAATGAGCGACGCACGAACACCTTACAACGTACCTTCACCCTCTTCGTACACTAGGTTCCCCAGACACTTGAGATGTGGACATGGATAATGTGGGCGGCAGGAGTGCCCTGGTCAAGTGAAGAGTTTTTACAGAGTGTTTTTGCTGCTGCCTCTATCAAGCGAGGGTACCGGTAGGTACTGAAGGAGGGAAGTGAGGAGAGAAATTAATTCAAAAAGAAAGAAAGAAAAAAAGAAAGAAAGCAATAACTGTTGCTCTGAATAATGTGTTAGTAACTCTTAATAGAAGAGAGGGTCTCTGATTAGGTAGTCCAGCAGGTGCAGTACGGCGTACGGAGTACAGCTGTAAATGGAACCCCGGGCTCTCTTTTGTGTGGCTCTTTCTTACCTACCTTAAGGTACCTTAGGTAGGTCCCTTGGCATGTGTTGCCCCTCGTACCTTCCAGCTTTTACCAGCACCTTACAATGTACGGATACCTCACCGTACCTACCTACTTCGTACTTTCCTCGGGCAGATGACCTTACTCCCCTCCCCTCGTCCTTCAACCCTCTCTCTTCAACCTTTAACACTTCTCTTCACTCTTCTCCTCTTCACACTCACCGTGTTGTCATTCTTCTCCTCCCACATCCACTTCCTCTCCATGCTACTCGTCAATAGTTAACCGTTGGCCTTGTCAAAGGTGTGGATTCCAACGTTACCCACATCTCTCTTGGTGCTGGCTCGATTCGGTACTTGATATCAGCGCCGAGGCCCAGATCCAGATCCAGCCCTGGACTTGCCCTACACCTCGTCACTGACTCGAACCATCGCCCCGATTTTGCACCATTTGGCCTATGGAACCATTGGCATCCCTCCCCTGAGACCTGAAGAGCAGTCCGCAGGGAACACACACGACGTCGGACGTGCGTCCGCACCTATTTCACTCGGCACCGCTTCCTTGGTTCGTCGATCGACCCCCACCACACAACACACTTGCTTTCCGCACAACGTACCACCTACGTACTACCCGTTATCGGCTCGGCAAACCTTCTATATCCCTCGTCGACCGCGCCACTGCCTTACTGTAGGCACCTGCAGGCAACTGCTCCTCCTCTCACATTCCCACTCTCATCCCCTTTTCCTTTCGCGCAACGCAACAACAAACTCCTTCGAGACGATCTACTCCACTCGCCGGACTCACTTGATTCGGCAACGAGCTTCGTGCCTTGACCTGCCTCGTCGATTTGACAACCCTCGACAGACATAAATGTCGCAGTCGGCATAGACCCCCTGGGAGCCCAGACACGGACAGCTCATCAGTCCATTCTCGGAAGCCCCCCCGATACCTCCCACAGTGCCACGACCACCATCATCAATCCAGATATCGACGCTCCCAATTATTTACCATGCCAACTCACGGTCTCCACCGCTTGGAGAGACTTTTCTCCATGCGTAAGAAGAGCTCTTCTAAGCTCAACCATGGTTCCTGTGGAGCCCCAGAACCTTTCGAGCACGCCGAGAATTCCACCACCACCTTTCCTGAGCCTCCCTTCATCAGACCCAGAGGCGCACGCATGGAAGCTAGAGTTGAATCAACAGCGTGCTCAAAGTCCGCCAATCGGGCTTCTAGCGTGCCCGAGGCAAGAATCGACCGCGCTCCAATGCATTCCCCAAACCCGAGTACTGCCAGCACTGGCGACATCCACGGACCGCCTACCCGGACCGTTCCTCTGCGCCGCCTCGGAATGGAGAGAAAGGAAAGGGACATGCACTCGGCCATGCATTTCCAGGAGTTCCGGTTTCCTCATCCCCGGCGCGGCACCGAGAGACCACCATCGTCGCCTGCACCGTCATCCCAATCATCCACGACGCCCGTGCCCAAGTCATTCCGGAGTCAAAAGCGCAACCTCGAGCACCGGAACAGCTCTATCGTCACCCCGGTCCGGACTGACACACCACCGGTCTCCGATAACGAGGACGAACAGCGGAATGCCCGGGGACCGCGGGATGGAACGATGAGAAAGATGAAACCTGCCTATCTGGCGGCAGCCCTGCCCACACCGGAAACATCCCCCGAGATCAAACCTGTGTCGGATTCACGGACGCACGAGCTGAGGCGAGATTCGGGCCTCCACTTGGCGACAAATAAAGGCGGCATGTTCTGTCCATCCCGGTGGAAGCTGCACAAGGCAGAACTCCGAAAGGCGCGGTCTCAAGCCTGCATATCCTCCCGCTCGGAGCGGACCTCGGGTAAAGTGCTGAAGGGCGGGAATGTTAAGGACTTCTTCAACCTCAGCGACGATGATATTGCGGAGGAGGAGGAAGAGATGGAGGCAGACGAACAGACAGGAGGGACGTCGCACGTGACGCAACATTTCCTGCCACCATCACCATCCGAGACGGTCGATGGTGTCACCACTACCTCGGCCTCTCACAGGAACAATATAAACTCAAAAGGGTTTATCAACACCCTGGAGGATGCTGCCGCCTATGGAGCGGTACAAATCGCAAAAATTGCCGCCAAGCACGAGTTGGATCTGGCTTATATTGTCAACCTCTGGCCCGAGAACCCACGATATCCTCCCCCGTCCGGTTGTGCCAGGAGCTCGATGCTCGGATCGGCTGAGGACATTGTGGTAGAGACGGAGACGGCAGCCGGCATGACCGGCCGGCTACTGGCAGCATACGGGCTGTCCCAGGTCGCCAGCCCCTTCTGCATCTCGGCTGCAGTGCACACAAAGATTCTGCGCCACACAAGCTGGGTCGAGTACTCTGCCGCAGAGGCCAAGCCCGGGGAGTTCTCGCGCGGGTATGGACACGCATTTCATGCCGGCACTGCCGCGAGGAGAGCCCCGGCAGATCCAGTAGTAGAGATCTCAGACACGGACCGAGGCATCGTCTTCGCTGGCTACCGGCAATTCAGACCAGACGGCACAACGAAAGAGTGCACACCCGCAGGGCTTGCAGCGTTGCACGCTGATGTCGAATATCTCATCGACATGCTCATCGTCATCCACAAGGCGACGCGGTTACGGAACCCAACCGCCCTAGTCGCACTTACTCATGAGGTGGGACCGATGCCGCCGGGAACGGAAAATGTCTTTGCCTGAGCGGATGATATTATTCGAGGACATTAGTGAAGTAGCTTGGGATGTTAGTTGGCACCTTATAATATTTCAATATTTCATCAGTTGCTCATAGTTTGGTGATACGGAGGTTGAGAGATTTTGAAGAGTGGGGATGGTGCGGAGTACGTACTCCAATGTACTCCGTACTACTTCTCAGCACGTGGCGCAAGCGACAAGCGACCGTGACTAAGCCTCTCGACACTCGCCACATCATGACGTTGACACGAGGGACACTCACATGGGACATCATTACGGCATCCATCCTAGAACTACATCTTGGCTCCCTCCTAACTCGCTCCCGCTCCGTCTTCTTCGAACCCTCAACGCTCGATATTCCCTTATCTTCTCTCATACCCGGAGGTTTTTACCTCGACTACGAAGTACTCCTTTTCCCAAAGTAAAATTTCCGCGATCCCTTCAACATGGCTTCCAACGGGCCACCTCCCAACTACTGTACGCATGTCGCCAAGTTTCCCTACACTGAAAATGCAGGACTCCCCAGTCGGCCAATATTGCTCAAACCCTCATGGGAGTCTCTTGTTATTTCTCTCTAACATTGATACTCAGATGCGATTCTTGAAATCCAAGAAACAGCCACGACACAACAAGTGCGCGATGCCTACAAGAAGTGCGTTACCCCACCCTCGAACCAGGCAACAAGGCGATCGCATATCGGACCTACCACCTCCCTACACAGAGAGGTGGATAGCGCGATGCTCTTCAAAACGTACATTGACTGACTGACTTGTTTTCTATAGGGCCGCCCTAAAAACCCATCCCGACAGGGTGCCCGGAGACTCGCCCGAGCGAGCGACTCGGACACGGAAATTCCAGCTCGTCAACGACGCATACTACACCCTCTCCGACACCTCCCGGCGACAGGAATACGACCTACAACGGAAGATGTACGGCACCAGCTCTTCGACCAGCGACCCGTTCGAAGAAGCCGATGGTCCCTCCGCCGAACAGGGCGAAGGCGCCGCCGCCGGGACTGGCGCGCAGAACGCCTTCTCGTGGGCGTGGAACTTCTTCGCCGGCCAGGGTCAGGCGGGAGGGGGCGGCGGCGGCGCCCCCGACGAGGAGACGCGGCGGCAGACGGAGGAGCAGCAGTTCGGAGACGCGTTCGAGGAGATGCTGCGCGAGGAGGGCATGGCTGAGGACGGCACGGGACGGCCGACGCGCTCGTTTTGGAGCCTCGTCGGCGGCGCGAGCGGCGGGGCGCTGGGGTTCATTGTCGCGAACGTACCCGGGCTCGTTGCGGGCGCTGTGGCGGGGAACCGGCTCGGCGCGATACGAGACGCCAAGGGGAAGAGCGTCTATGCTGTCTTTCAGGTCAGTGCCAATGTGCGGATATCGGCTGGGTAGGCAGGACGGACGGACGTCGTCCGTTGGGATCTGTCTTCCTGCTGCATGCTGTTAGCACGACCTCTTCTTTTTAACTTTCCCCCGTGCCGTTTTGATATTTTGCGGGTTTTACACAGGCCAGTTCGCTGACACACTTTTGCAGGACCTGCCGCAGGCTGACCGGGCGAGGTTGCTAACGCAACTTGCGGCTAAGGTGTTCAGTCATACTGTAGGCGTCTAGACCCATTTTACGCGTACTTTCTTCTTCATTATTGCGGAATCGGTTAGAATCACGAGGGCCTTGGTCCTTTTTTTTTCTTCTTTTTTCATTCGAATACAGACGGAGTTGGGGTTCGGTTGCGCAGCGCAGGCGGTATATTCTCGATTCTATATTCTTCGCTTCGCAAGCAATCAGAAGGCCATTATCACAGGCCTGTAATTTCTATGCCAAAGTGGCAAATGACTTACCTTCTTCTTGATCGACGACCTGTTGTCGTCGTATTCTATCGTCTCACCGAGCTGCCATCTCGAATCGATGGCCCCAGATCCAGTTGGATTGGGGCTCCCAACACGATCCTCCATTTATGCTGCTCAGTCCCAATACTTGTCGGTTGACAGACATTGGCGTCTTGCGATTTGTCCATGGCTTCCGGAGAGGAGTCCAGTCCCTCTCAGCCAGCTGCATGACAACCTCCAAACCTTCACATCCTGGAGTTTCTCTCCGCAGCCTTTCAATCCGGGCGGAGAAAGTGGCCCATACCTCATTGTTTCGTACTCCGCCGCGAACGGGAACAAGTCCCGTAATGGGCGCAGCTCGAACCTCGAACCCTTGGCCGACGGCGTCACTTCCATCTCGCAGCCACGGCGACTGACGCGGCCATCCCGTGACGACGTCGAATCCGTTCTGGTCATGTTCGAGGAGGACGGGGGAGAGCGTCTTCATGCTGGGGAAAGTCCGACGGAGGTGGGGCAGCACGCAGCCCCAGTACGCGTCGTCCCAGGTCTCGAAGCGCGACTGGACCTCGAACGCGACGTTGCGGATCTCGCTCATCGCCATCGGAGGCAGGGATGGCGATTCTGGTTCTGGCTTGTTGTTATGGGTCGTGACGGTATCCACCTTGAAGAGATGTTAGCGAACCGGCTCCGCGAAGTGGTGCTCGTGGCTCCGAGGCCTACCTGCAGCAGGGACGTGTCTTGCAACAGGACGATGTCCCGCTCCGTGTTGAATAGGGGCGAGATGTCGCGTTCGCGCCTGGGGGGTGCGGTGGCTGGCAGTGCCCGGTGGTGCCACGACGCGGTGTTGTTCCTGGTCGTTGCGCTGTCGTCCAGCGACACGCCGATCGGTACCGTTTTCTGCGCGGGGAGGCGGAGGGAGCGCAGGCCGCGGCGTGTGGCGGCGTGGCGGGCGCGACGGCAGACTTGTTGGATGGTCGGGTGGTGCGATCGAGGGGGCGGGTGGCAGGCTGTTGTCTGGGACCACTCACCTGGGTATCGGTCGTCCTGCGTCAAGTCGGTGCGCCATTCGAACACGCGGGGGGGAGCGTCGGCCACGGCGAGCTCCCAGATCATGTCCTGGATTTCGAGAGGGAGGTGGGGGAACAGGTGAAAGGACGTCGCCGTCGAATGGGACTCGCTCTTTTGTGCCGTGATGGTCTTGATTGTCGCCATTTTGGTCTTGAAACGAGTACTTTTCGACTACTTTTGGAGGTCCTGCACCGATGTGTTTTCTCTTTGGTTTCGTCTCGTGGCTCGGGTTTGCGTCTGTTGGCTTATCGAGGCATGCTTTCCCAATGGCATTGACCCTTCTCGCGAAGGATGGAATATAAGCCTTGTTTTATAGAGATGCCGGACGGGGATGGTCATATCGGAGTTCCTTGTTCTCCTACAGACATTTGTCCTTCGCCCACCGTCTTTGTGTTGTCGAACAATTCCTTGTCCTCTGGACCTCGTCTTTGTCATAGTTTCCCAGAACAGTCGGTACTGTTCCCCCTCTCATTGTCTGGGCGTCTTCCATCCTTTTATCCAATCTCTTTGTCTTCCTTTCAGGACTCGTGACACTCGACGTCCGTTCTATTGTTGAATTCATGTGTTGGGCATACCTGAATGATAACTGACAGGGCTTGGAAGCTGCAGGGTATTCATATCATCTGAATGAAGCTTGCGGTATATTTGTTCTGCTTTCATGAAGATGTCCTTTCAGACTTTCAGACATTGTGATCTCAGGCTCGGGGTCGTTGAAAGGCAAAGGACGTCCACGTCCAAGTGACATCACCCAATTATTTCGAAGTACCCGTAAGTATACGCCACATGTGGCCGGCATCGACGCCTCTGCCAAGATAACCACGTGATCAAGCAGATTAGTAATGGGCCTAGTAAGGAATACTATTTTGCCTGTAAAACGGTGAGGCCCGCCAAGCATGATAAGCTACCAAAGTATACACCTATTTTGTATGTATACTTAAGTACCCAAACACATAGACACAGTCTCTTTTCAATTGATCTACCAGTTCTTATATAACGCCTCGTCAATTGAAGCATAACACCAACCCACGATAAAATAGCTAAAGAATAACAGCGACCTTACGGCTCCGGCCTACCCTTCAAGGTTTATGCCTTATATAAGCAGGACTTCGGAGCCCTTATTACCCACGCCTACTCGAACGTGAAAAGAGAGACTGTACCTATGTGTTTGGGTACTCGAAGTGTATATACAAAATAGGTGTGTACTTTGGTAGCTTATTATGCTTGGCGGGCCCCACCGTTTTACTGGCAAAATAGTATTCCTTACTGGCGCCTGAGATAGGCCCTTAGTAATTCATCGGCTTCGACATCCGACGCTTCAACCGAGCATGATCCTGAGATCCTCCTCCTCCTTTTTCTCCCGAGGTATCAAGACCGACAACCTGATTCCCTGAAGCGCCTATTTCATATTTCTGCTGTATCAAGGCGGCCCTTTCTTATGCACTTAAGAAAGAAATTTCCAGAGTGGCCAACGCCAAACGATGCTCAGGTACGGTTCACCTAAGTTCTGACACCTGGCCCGCCGCCCACGAGTGCACAGTCGCCGATACTCGAAGAGATGTTACCATTTCTTAGGCCAGAGCTAGGAGGCATCGACATGGTCCTTCCAGGACGTACCACTAAGCTTCCCTGGACGGCTTCAGGTCCAGTACTCCACTTCCGCCGATGCAGGATGACTGCTGCGTCGATGCGTCATGTGGTTTGATGGGAGACCTTGCAGATGGTTTGCCCCGTTGCGGGCGCCCCTATTACCCAACTAGGAAGTCGATATGCCCATGAAAGGCCTCTCATTGTCAGAATTTCCCGGATGGTTGGTTGTCTTGCGGGGAAGCAGAGGATCGGCCTGGCCGTTGGTCGTTGGCTCGAGGAACGAGCGCGGGCTTGTAGAGAAACGCGCGAACATCCTCGGCTTGAGGGGCCTGGACTGAAGCTGCTTGTTACGAACCACTACATCTAGGTGTTGAAGAAGGAGATGTTTCCCTCTCGGCTCAATGGTCTGCGCCGCGTAACATGACCCGCGCCTGAAGTGACGCGCGGGATGAAGAAGAGCAGAAATTGTTCCTACGACGATACAATTCTCATACTGCCGACTTGGATTTCTTGCAACTCATCAATGCCACGTACCTATCTAGTAAGCACCTCTGCATAACTAACTCCATGTGTGTATCTATATCTACATATACCTAGTCAGATGATTATGAAGAGAGTTGAGGAGATGAAACAGCATAGCTGGAACATGAGTTCAGAGACGCATATTTTTTATGACCGAGCATGGCCTGATCGTATCATGCGGCCGTGACTGTGAACCAGGACTCTTCTATTCTCCCTTAATTGGACTTTCGCTTCATAGATGATGACATTGGCCTCGAACAAGCCGCAGTAGTTAACATGTAACTGTAAATGGTATGATCCGATCTCGTGTCGTAGCGGTGGTTCAGATCACCTCTTAATGCGGTAAGTGTTCCAAGCGCTGCGCATGCGCCAGGCCTGTCCGGCCGTGAACTCGTTCATGCAATCACTGCAAAGAGAAGGGTCTGGTCAGGTTTCTTTTTCTTTTATTCTTTTCTTTCGTTTCCAACTCTCAGAAGCAGAAAAGGTACTCACTCGTCAGAATAATCCATAAAGTTATGGATAGGATCAATCCCCCAGCGGTCAGGGCAAGAGTTCTTCCCCACAGGGCAACCGTACGAAGGGTTGGCCGAGGGCGGGGTATCGTGGATCATGTCGCCGACGCAGCCGCACCCGCCCTGGAAGGTGTGGGCGAGGTTCATCCAGTGGCCGACCTCGTGGGTGGCGGTGCGGCCGAGGTTGTAGCGGGTGAGGGCGCCGCCGGGGACGGAGTCGGCGAGGACGACGCAGCCGTCGCGGTAGAAGATGTCGGACCCCTCCTCGACTTGGCGCGGGTACGTGCAGTAGCCCAGGTAGCCGCTGGCGTTGGTGAGGAAGTAGACGTTGAGGGTGCTGTAGTCGCCCTGGCGGAGGGCCCTACGCATGGGCAGGGCCTGCTGATCGTTGGCCCAGACCACGTTGATGGTCCGGGTGACGTTGATAAGGGAGAACTCGATGTTCCAGGGGGCGTAGTCTTCGTTCATTACGTCGAGCTGCGCCATGAGTGTTTCGTCCTGTGGTGGAGACATCGGAGTATTATCAGTAAGGGGTCATGTTCCCTTTTTTTCTTTTTTTTCTTCTTTTTTTTTTTTGATTTCATGAGAGGGCGGGAAGGCGGCAGGCCTGGGTGCTGGCAACAGCCGGGGAACAGAGGTGGTGGTTGTATTGTACTTACACTGAGGTAGCCATCCTGGGGTCTGTCGGAAATCGAGACGACATGGAAGACGGTAGGGACGACGATGGGCGCAGGCGAATACCGAGCGGTAGCCAGGCCTTCGCGGGCCTCGGCCTCCTGGACGGCGAATACGGCGTTGTCGGCGAGGTTCTCGATGGGGGGCTCCGAAGTGGCGCACCGGATGACATCGCCGGCGACCGTGGCGACCGAGGCCGCGGTCAACCACAGAAATCTGGCGAGCATGACGGCAAGTTTGAGGAGGACCGAAGTGACGATTTGTCTCGTGATGTATGGCAGACAAGACAGTGGTCAATGAGAGGGAAAGGGAAAGAAAGAAAAGAGAAGGAAAAAAAGGCGGGGGAGGGGAGGGTAAAGAAGAAGGAAAGACCGGAGGAAGCTCAGGAGGGTACCGGCCAAGGATGGACAACACGACACATGCCGGGCAGCGTGTCCATGAAAAGCTCTGGCACGGATATTTATCCTGCTTATAGCTCCTGTGGTTCTCTAATATCATGCGGACATTTTCCCTTATGCGGATCCTCGACCAGAGGTTGAGCCTTGGGACGCGTGGGCCGTGACTCGTGAGCCTCGGCCGGCCCGAATCCGGGCTCCTGAGTCCTGATAACGAGCTGCATGGATGATGGATTTTCCAGCTCGCCAGCTAGCGCACTCACAAGTTAGAGCCATGAACCCTGAAGTTCAGTATTTTGCATCCTCTTTGAGCTTTGTTTGGGTATTTGGAGCTCCCAAAAGATCCAGGTGATAGCTCGTAGCTTGTAAGGTTCCAAAGTTGGGGGAAAAGAACTTGACCGTTTCAGGGGGATCTTTCCTACCTCCTTCCTATTCGGGTTAAGAAGCAGAGACCACGCCCGAGATCCCGAGTGGGGAACTCCCCGCCAACCCACGGATCACGTAGCCCACTAAACCATTTATGGTCTCTGCTGCGGGGTCTAGCCAATAGACGACACCAATTGGGGAAGGTGGGGAAGGTATCTTCGTCTCTCGGTATGTCATCGGAGGCGGGAAGTGGGGGGGGAGAACGGTGGAACATTCGGTCGTCCTTGGGCCAAGATCCCAAAGATCCACGAGACGAGCATAAGGGTATTATAGTGTAATTACCTGGGAGACGACTTATCTATAAAAAGCGACCATGCCCGACTCTCTCTATCACTTGGCAACCATGTTCGTAAGCAGCCCTTATCTACCTTGATGTGAGTCTGGAACCTCGGTGTACTCCTCGATTTTAGCTCTACACGTAGACTCCACGAGATAACGCACATGAATGATGAGACTCGCCCCTTCTTGGCCCAAGACGAACATGTTCAAGCCCCCGGCCGGACCTTTTCTTCGCCATGGCAGGCCCATCCTTTCGGATAAGGGTTCGGTGTGAATCTCGAGGGTCCTTGCTCTCTGCTTCTGATTCTTCGTTTGCTTGGGTGGATTGGAAACATAGTGTATACAGTATGATGTATCCATGGCTCTGCAGCTCAACACGAGGAATCCATTCAGTCTGCGGCTGTCCGACGTCAAACCTACTCATAGTCTGTTCAACTCGGAAAGAGCAGTTTTACAATAACAATAAGAGAAGGAAAAAAAGTGTAAAGCATTTGGGCAATCGTAGGGCTTTATCACAACCAATCCATCCTGATTCCAGCATTTCGGACCCAGGGCCCTGTCACGAGAGAGCACAGGCTGACTGATGCAATGGAAAGTTCCGAACCTTTTCCCACGGGCCGAGCAGCCAAAATGATATGGTGGATATTCGATAAGCAGTGCAGCCCTGGGATTTTGGTGCTGATAGCTTATACCGCCCGGCAAGAATTCCGACGGGGAATCCATGACATCTACGGAGTTGGCCCGGAACCTTGTGGGGTTTTAAGTGACACGGGGGTCGGCGCGCCGTCAGTGAAGCCCGTTTGGCTCCGAGCCGCCCTTGGACGAAAAGGGCAAAGTTTATCGGCGAAGTGGACCGGTGGACTTGGACTCGCCGGTCACACTAAACGTACGCCGTCAACGGACCTGTTGTTCTTACGGGTTTGCCGTTGCGGAGCGGGGTTTTGTTTCCCTTCTAGGAACTTACTACGCCTGCGTTAGGTGTACCTAAACAGCGCAGGCCATAGTCCGTATTATCATTTAAATGGGCGGACTCAGCTTGAGCCTTGGTATATCAGATCATCACTGCATAACAGCTGTATGAGGCGGTGCAGGGCGACGATCAATGTGGCTTGTAAATTTATTGTGTCAAGACAGTAATAATAGGTTCCGAAAAAAAAGAAAGAAAAAAAGAAGAAGAAAAAGGGGGCCGAAAAGGGGAGGTTATGGAGACCGCGCTTCTTGGCTCTCTGCTTGACGAGGATCATCGGCTCAATTTCCGCATTTCGCGCCCAAATATGAGCGCGGTCCAATCAAACCTGCTCATTGACTGGCATGTTTTATGTCTTGCCAGGTGGAGACTGAGCACAACGTAAAGGCCGGATCAGTCGCACAATCATTCCACGTACGGTACCAGGCTCGTCGAAAGTCCAGTCTTGCAGTTTGAATGTTTGATGACCCTTGGGACGTAAGAAACAAATATTATGCCTCGTGCGCACAGAAGAGATTTCAACGACACGCGAGCACCCGCGCCCGCATAGGGTAGCGCTCGAACAAGTGCCGCATACGGAAATACACGTTGAATCGATTGCAACGCGACGGCGCTTTACCTAAGGTATCCGTGAAGATGTCCCTCTTGGATCTTTTCTTTTGCGCAGCTCTTCTTCCATGCGAATGCCGACGTGAAGAAACACCAGAGACCTGCTCTACTTTTTATGTTTTGACCACAGTCTGACCCGGTGACACCTACCTATTACTTTTACGGGTAGTTCCCGCAGGTTGCGATCCTTCGCGTGAGGCGTAGCAAGCCGGAAACAGGGATCTGGTCCGTACGCCGCCCGTGATAGGTTCGGCACCGAGTCAATCCCTATGCCTTGAATTCCTGATGTGGCACAAAGCTGCAATGTGCGTGGAGAACCCGCATCCACTCATCAGCAGTGCTTCAGGGACATGATACGCGGTTAATAAGGTTACTTCTGATGGCCCGCGCCTCACGCCTACGGCCCCCAAGGCCCATTTTCTCTTGGTTTTCGTTCGTGTGCTTCTCTCGGATGCCGTCCCTGTCGCTCTCTTCTTTTCTTCTTTCCTTTTCTTTCTTTATTTTCTTCCCTTTTTTTTTTTTTTTTTTTTTTTTTTTGCTTGCCAGTTTTCGGCGACACCTCCGAATGATCTCGCATCTGTTCCTCAGTATCCTTATACCCTTGACCTAATATTCTAGTTGTTATTCAACATACGCGATCGCGGTCAGACGGTGTGGGGAGGCGGATAGGAAAGAAGAAAAGACGGGGGGGGGGGGAAGAAGGCTACCCCTGAACCTCAACGGTCAACCCACCACCATGACGTTGGAGCCGTCGAGCCTCGGGTCTCTGACGACCACATTCACTCCTCCTGCCCGCTGTACCGACCTGAACGACATTTACAACATTTACTCTGACGTGGGGCCAGATATCGGCGCCTACCAGCTTCAAGGTCCCATCGATATTCGCAACTGCTACCCCCCCGATTACAACCCCCTCCGCAGCGCCTATTTCTCTCCGGGGATCTGCCCCGAGGGCTTCACTATCGCATGTTCACGGTTCAATTCCGTCGGCGCCGTGACCGAGACGGTCCATACCTGCTGCCCGACGTAAGTCTTGCTCAAATTTTCTCACCGCCTTCTTTGCCTTGCGCCGTTCCAAGTCGACTGACCACGCGGTTTTCTTTCATGACAACAGGGGAATCCGTCACCAGTGCATCACCGACCCGGTTCGCCGTCTGCACTCAACTCTCATCTGCCAGTCTTCCCTAACAGGCGCCGGTGGCCTCTGGACCATCGACCCCATAACACAAATCTCCGGCGGCGAGACCACGGTGACGACGCTTGTGGGCAGGAATGGGGGCCCGGCCATCAATGCGTACGGTGTCGAGGTGCGGTTTCAATCAACCGATTTCGTCTCAACCGAGAGTAGCGTTACAACCAGCGCCGAGAGCAGCAGTGCCCCCTCTTCGAGCCAACCGCCAGAGGTGAGTTCGTAGCCTGACGACTAAACCTGACTGACCTTGGTTTTTGTTTCGTCCCATCCTAACTACTGCGGCGCGACTGACATTTCTTGACCTTGATTAGACGGCCGAATCTTCGTCAGCCCCCACACCGTCCGAGACGGGAACTAGCGGCGACAGCGGAGGTGAGGGTCTCGGCACGGGCGCAATTGCGGGCATCGCAGTCGGTGCTGCAGCGGGCGGCATATTGCTAGGGGCTTTGCTCATATGGCTCTGGTTCCGGCGGCGACGTCGCGGACGGGCCGCAGCCGACGCTGATGCCTTACCACCAGGCGGTATGGTCGAGGCAAAACCCGGTCCGAAGCCCCTCCCACACGAGCTGCCCGGACACCAGCAGCACGAGTTACCTGCGGCGAATGACGGATCGAGGCACTGGCGCGAGTTCAAAACGTCGCCCGGCCACAACTCGACTGCCCATTCATACTATTCGCCCCCAATACAATCCGCAACACCGCCGGTGGAATTGGACGGCACGGGGTCATCGGTGAGACGGTAGTGACGGCATTTCGAGCCAATGGTGTTGGGAAGAGAACAAGCTGAGGATCACACAAGCTTGATCCGATCAAGAAAGAAGAATAAGGGGGGGAGGGGGGGGGGGGGGGGATGAACAGGAGGCTAATGTTCCAACGGATCGAATCGCGGCACTTCAACCTCGACGTATGTACGGCTGGCGGAAAGAGAAGACTGTCACTTGACCTCCCACTCCCACGCCAACGAATCCTCGCCGCGCAAGGCTCTCCACCGGTTAGTGGAATGCAACATGTCGTAACAACCGTCAAAGAGGAAGCTGAAGTTCCGCCAGCAACCTTCAGTGACTTCCCAACCGATGGGGTCCCAGGGATCTGTCCAAACGATGATGCCATGCTCCAAGTCGGGGTTTCCGGCCTTTTCCGTAACTACAGTCCAGTTGTCATCTGGGCATTTGGCCGCCTCGGGTAGGCAGGGCACAAAGACCAGGTTGACATCAGGCCGATTCGGTGGAGGGGACTTGCTGGGAAGCTGATGGGTTTGCGAGTTACAGATGTGAGATGGTCATTTGAAATATGGTAATTTGTAAGCCCGAGGGGGAAAGTCGCAGAAGAAAAAAAGGGTGACTCGAGGTGAAGCAGCAGGGCGACGAGTACTATGAGGAGCAATGGTGGTGATGTATTGAGAGGTTTTGGGCTCGACGTCAGGAGGCAGGAGTCAGGTCTGACGCAGAAGCTTAAGGTACAACTTACCGTTATGTACCTTTAGGTACGGAGCGAGCGTTGGGACCCTGGACCAGTGACTCACCCCTGCCCTAGTCGTTCGTCCTTCGTGCATGAGTCTACAGCGCTATTCCATAAGAAGACTAGCGCCGCTGTGAGTGAACCATCCCAACTCATCCTCCTACCTTACCTGTATAACGATACAACCTCTCATGAACTCATCCTCCCGGGCTTCATGCACAGGCTTACAGACACAAACCCTTACAAAAGACCTAACTACCTGATCTCAAGCTTATAATACCATCATCATAGGCCGTTTGGTTGGCCTCATACTGGGTTCCTAGCCCCGAAGGCAAGGACACCCAAAAGCGGCTATGGATCGAGTTGTCTGAAAAGCTGGAGAAGATACAGCCAGGGATCATGGGCACTATCTGATATATTTGCGAATGGGAAGATACGATAGTACATTGGAGCCTATAAACACAGCGCAAGTTTTCTCGGAATATCTCACGTCTTGGAGATGAGAATACCTTGAGATAATCAATGCAGATTCTTGTTTTCACTCGGGACATAGCCAGACCCGCCCCCTCCCTCAGCTATCACAAGACTTCTACGTCTTATTCAGTCTCGCCGACTCCCGAATCCACCCCTGAGCCCCTCGCAATCCATTTTACACAAAGGGCATGTGCATCGAGCTTGACGCTCATAGGTTGCCTTAGAATAGAGACTGCGAGGTTTGCGGTGTCTTATTTGAGGAGGGATTCGGCATCATCCTTCCATGTTGAAAAAGAATGCTGACAGACTATAATAACCGGCGGTAAGACAGGACATGGATTAGCAGTATGGAGTTAACACTCAGAGCCGTTGTTGATGGGTGGACTGAGGTATCTTGTGTACGCAGTGTTAGGTAAAGACAAAGTAGGTTAAAACAAGTGAATCACCTCTATCTCACGTAGCCCTGAGATGTCGGACCGTCGGTAGGCCCCGAATGAAGAGATATCCTGTGAAGTTCGAGGTGGACGGTATTAGGTAGTTCCCGGGGTTTTGAGGGATTTCTCCGCGCAGAATTTTAACCACCTCTACTAGCACTTCTCGTGCTTCTACTCCGTACCTTAACAGTGAGAGGTATGGGCGTCATCACCCCGCTGAGAACCCGGATAGTCATAGACCCACACCGCCGATACTGAAGTGGACCCCGGACCCCGGCTCGGAGCCCACTCGTAAACCCGGATGTCCGGCGCTCCCACGTCGTAGCGCATGGCCGTTGCCTCAATACCCAACAGTGATGGCCGTTTGGCTGCCATGGCCCATGCATATTCCCCGCCACGAGGCAACGTTAATCAACCATGCCGTAATGCCAAGGTTATCGACTCGCGAGTTACCCGGTCCACGAGGATTTGAAGTTCCTAGTTATGACCCGGGGGCATGGATCGATGACATGACGTGCTGAGTTCACAACTATTAAAGAGCACTCGAACTCCCTTCCCCTTCCCGGCTTCGTCTCCCTTAGGACCCCTTACCGTCGAGACTTCTTCCCAGGTTACCTCAGTCAAGACTCCAGGCCCCGGACTCATCAGAAGCACACTTTGTCGCTCTCGAGTATTCCTTCTCGCGTGGTGAACTTCAACCCCTTCTCACTACAACCGACGAAAAGACACACAATGTTCGCCGGCGCAGCTTCTCTCCTCCTCCTCCTGCCCCTGGCAGTCGCCACGCCACTAGGCGCTCGCCAGGCCGACTCTCCCGTCACAGTCACCGTTGACACCAACCCCGCCGGCCCCACCAACTCGGTCTACAACTGGGCCCGGGGCTGGGAGGACGAGTTCCCCATCCACCCGTCCTGCAACGCCACCAACCGCGCCCAGATCGCCGCCGGTCTGCGCGAGACCGTTCAGCTCGCCGCTCATGCCCGCGATCACCTCCTCCGCTGGGGCAGCGAGTCTGAGATTGCTCGCAGGTACTTCGGCAACGCCTCCGTTGCCGGTCCTATCGGCTGGTACAGCCGTGTCGTGTCGGGCAACAAGGTCGGGATGCTCTTCCGATGCGATGATCCGGACCGGAACTGCGCCACGCAGGAAGGTATGCCGATTGTTGCTTTTTGTCCCGTTGCTACCCCTTTCCTTTTCATAGCGTGTCCCTCCTACCATAGACTTTCTCAATTGTCGCTTCTTCCTATTCTTTTCTTTCGCTGCCACAGTCGGTCGTTTTACCCCTTTCCACTCCTGGACCAAACCTCAGCCCAAGTTCTAACGCTCAAATCTCCAGGCTGGGCCGGCCACTGGCGCGGCGACAACGCAACCCAAGAAACCGTCATCTGCGACCTCTCCTACGAGCGCCGCCTCCCCCTCGCCGCCGTCTGCAGCCGCGGCTACACCGTCGCCGAGTCGCCCCTGAACACCTACTGGGCCACCGACCTGCTGCACCGCGTCTTCCACGTGCCGCTCATCAGCGACCTCCGTCTCGAGCACTACGCCGAGGACTACGCCGACGCGCTCCGCATCGCCGCCACCGACCCGGATCTCGCCGTCCTCGACAGCGACGCGCTGCAGTACTTCGCCATCGACGCCTGGGCCTACGATATTGCCGTCCCCGGTATCGGATGCTCCGGCGAGGTTCCGCAGGTGTCTCCCACTTCCCCCCCAGCGGCCCCTGAGCCGACTAGTACCCAGACGGCTGATGCGTCGTGCCATACTCATGACGATGGGTTCGTGCACTGCTGAGCTTCCTTCTCCGCCGCGAAAGCACGAAGCTTAGGAGTACACTTCATTGATGTGATCCATTCTGTCCCCCTTACATATAAACTGGACTGGTAATGTGGGGCAAGACTGGCAAAGGGAAAGGAATTGATACCTAAAATAGGCGGAGGTAAGGTAATTCATGCGCACGCATATGATAGACGATAGAGAGTCATAGAGAAAGGGCTTACCCTAGATGATAAGGAATCAAGGATAATGAAATTCACTATTCTTAATCATAATTCGACACCATGCTGCCTTGGAGTTGCTGTATCTACTGCAATCATTCCATATACCCAGTTGCAACAGACAGACACGGGGGGCCACGTGGTGAGTGAAACGGAAGACTGCTGGTTGGAGGCTCATGTCCGGATGTCCAGATATCCGAAAGCGGCCCACGGTGCCGCTATCCGCTGCAGCTCCCGGGTCATTCGCCATGGAGGAGCAGTAGTGGGCCCGAAGCTCCGTTCACCGGCTGCTATACACGTAGTAGGTATCCAAATCGCAGACCAATGTCCAATCATAACTAGTGAAGAGTTCCAGTCATCAAGGGCAAAAGCCGGCACCATGAGCATAAGTCGCATGGACAGTCTCTTGGCATAGAAGATAAGGTTGGACTTGCGTATTGCCGGAACGTTGCCGCGTGTGGAGCTCTTGTATCTGACCAACAGGTTGCATGCAGCCCTTAGCTCGCAGGAACTAGACTGCTTGGCGCTGCCTTTAGACGGATGAGGGATGAGGGGAGTGAGAGAGCAAGACGCGGAGAAGTGTAAAGTGTGGACTGACGAACCGACTAGCTGCCGTTGCCATGACAGATCATCTTATAGATGGCGATGTGGATGTGAGTCGTGGCCGTGGACCGAGTCAGAATGAGAAGCAAATTCCAAACGCTGCATGGTGGATTGGAAGATGTGAGCTTTTGAAACGGAATACGTGATGATGGCTCCGTGGTTCAATTTCACCATGCAGAAAACGGAGAAACAACGTGCCCCCTTCCACGTCGTACCAGCGCGACACCGCATATGGGAATGGGAGAGGGAGGGGTCGAAATGACGACCATTTGCCTCCTCTTCGCCATCTCACCACACCCTTCTAGGTTCCATGCATCCGGCTTAGGCACTTTCCAGAGGCAACTGTGAACATGCCGCTTTGGCCTTGATTTGGGCCGACACTTCACTTGTCAACCTATGAAACGAGAGCAAACTTCGACTTCGCCTGAAGTCACCCCAACTCGCAAGCTGGCACGTGCCTAATAGAGTAGAGACAGTACGAACCATGTGTGCAATGGCGGTTTAGTTTCTTGGAGGGAAGACTAGTGCAATTGACTCCACGGCCTGCTCCCGTGAGCTGTGAGCCCGTCCATCCTCTCTTGCGGATGGAATTGAGCAAACTCTCCCAATAAGACAGTGGACGCCGACTTGGCGCTGTCTTATCTCGGCAGGGTTTCTAACTCGACGGCTTCGATCTTTCAAGGTGCCGGAGAGGGGACCAAAGGATGGGGCGAGTTCAGGATGTCATCATTGTATACGATACCTGGGCAACTCAAACTCGTATCAAGTCGATCATTCGATTTAACAGGGGGATTAGCCTGCGATTGGTGTGTTTTTCGTTTGATTAGGTCTTTGTAGATCAGATCAAGTGGGCGGGCGAAGGGGAGACGCCAGGTGATGAAGGTCCGGAGGACCAAGGTCGATGTGCTCGCATTGCACAGATCGCCCCCCTCAATGTGCTAGGACAAGGACAATGCATCGACGGTGGCGTCGTCGCTCCTGCTCATCTGCGAAGTAATACGGCGTGGTAGGTGGTTCTACCCCGCATTTTGCCTTCACCAGGGTGACGTCGACAACCCTCCCTCCGGCTTCTTAGCGTGCAACGCTAAGGATACGCACAGACCGGGGAGAGGTCCGGACGCCGGGAGCCGGTGGACTCTGGTACGTTGTACTTCGGTACGTACATCTACATACCTACGTACCTGAGATTCTGTTCCGGTTGCGGACTCGTTGATTCGCTTTATCGGTACGGTATTTAATGAGCTTTTGCCTCTGGTTCGTCTCCTGGTTCTTAGTGGCTGCGCCCCCTGCTTCGCGAAGCGACCCTAAGTTATGGGGTTCATCGTACACTGTACGCCTATTAGGTACTGTCACCACCGTCTCCCCCCGGCCTATCAGTGCGCACATCTCCCCAGGAGCTTATTCCTTTGCACTTTCCCCAGAGCTCTAATACACGTAGAGCTCCTTCCCTGTCATGACAAACGCGCCACCCCGTTGCCCTGCAATCGTCCGCGCTTTCTCCAAGGTAAGGTGCTTCATGTACGCTACTCCGCACATACCTTTCCTGACCCTGCATGGTACCCTGGGTCGTACCCCGGCCCCGTACTCTGGCTCACACAAGTGTTCGTACCGAGTTAGTACTCTTCTCGTACCGCACTCTGTTTATAACCCCACAAATATAAGCATTAGGCAGGTTCCTGTACTTATCTGGTACAGTTCAACAGGGTGCATGTACACTACGTACCGGTATAGGCAACCACGACCCAGCTCCCCTATCCAGCTCTCCATCCATCCATATCATCAAACGAATAGGTAATATGCGCAGTCCGTATCCCGCTCTCATCCCGCTCAGCACCCAATGCTGTTGTTTAAGTACGGTATAGAATTTGCTTCTTCCCCCTTTTTCTATCTTCTCCCTTCCATTCTACTCCTGCCCTCCTGCCCTCCTGCCCTCCTGCCCTCCTGCCCTCCTGCCCTCCTGCCCTCCTGCCCTCCTGCCCTCCTGCCCTCCTGCCCTCCTGCCCTCCTGCCCTCCTGCCCTCCTGCCCTCCTGCCCTCCTGCCCTCCTGCCCTCCTGCCCTCCTGCCCTCCTGCCCTCCTGATTCCATTCTTTCTCACGAGTCACGCTCCTTGTCTTCCCCCTCATTCCTTCAATTCGCCTACATCTCCCCTCTCTCATTTTTCTTACGAGTAACAATAACCAGGTAACCAAACCATTCAAACCTCTCAGGTTACCTCCACTTCTCCCTCCCAATCAAGGTCCTCATACCACCACAGGGGCTTCCCCGCCATCATCCAATCCACCTTTCATCCCCCCACCCTACTATCGACGCTCTCCTCCTCTTCAACCTCTTCAACCTCTTCAACCTCTTCGACACGTCACCTCTTCTCTCTCGCATACCATTGATAGGTCGCTTGGAACCCCTTTCTTTCTGTCAATAGAGGGTATCGCTGCGAACCTACCTTGGCGCTCGGATAGGCGATACATACGCCCCGTCGTATCGCATCGAATGCATTCCATTTGTATTCCCATCCTCAACTGAACTGATTGCGTGTATCCGTACTTTTCTGCACCCACCAAAGGCCTATTTCCGTTTTGTCCGCAGCTAGAAAGCACGTTATCAGTCCATTTCGCTCTTTGGACGCCCAAAAGAACCGACGTTTCACCGGCACGCTCCGACTCGGTCCCTCGGACGATTCGACTTACGATTTCCCTTTGAACTCACCCCACTAACCCGCCAAACCGCCTACTCGTCACGTGTAACCGGCTCCGTCCATTACTTATATTACTTATATACCCGCCACTCAAACCGACGCCCCCCTAGGACTCGCCCGCCATGTCCTCCGATAACTCCAACGTGCACAACAACCCCAACGATATGAATCATCGACGCAGAGGCTCTGTCACTCAGCAGGCACTGGCTGGCCTCTTCCGCAGCAATTCATCGACCACAGGCACCAGCTTTCAGACTTCTGATCCTCATCGCCGCCGGCTTTCCATCTCCACCACAGGCCTCGGCATTGCAGGAACCTCTGTAGCTACCTCCGCGACATTCAGTGGCAGTTACCGCCGAGGCAGCGTCTCCAACTCGGATTCGTTCGTTGATGAAAACGCCGTCGACGAGGACGAAGGGAGCAGCCGCACCGCCCCCACTACTCCCTTCGTCCGTAGGATGAGTTTTGGTGGGCCAGCCATGCGCACTGCCAGTGCCATTCGCAGCGGCGGCGTTAGTCCCGGATCTCTAAATGGTAATCACCCACTTGCTCCCCCCCCGGCTCCTCACGAAGCCGTTCAGCCGGATGCGAAGAAATCCTCATCGGCGGCCAAGAACGGCGGCGCCGGGGCGCCGTCCTCAGCCGCGGCCTCGGCTATTGCCGCTGCCCTGTCCACCTCGGGACGGCGCCCCAGCCTGACCGTACAGGCAAGCACTGGAAGCAAGTCAAAATCTCTTTCTGACCGGTCTGTGTCGCGCTTAGACCAGGGCTTCAACTGGTCCGAGCAGCTTAGATCCCGAGCCGAAAGCTCCATCCAAGGGCCGAGGCCCTCCTTCACCTTCGGCTCCACCATGTCCACGTCGCCCCCGCGTGGAAATAGTCAGCCTGCCGCTGCCATCGCTACGCCGCGCCAGGACCGCGCTAAATCCTTTGCCGATATGCCCGCCCCGCCCACCCAGGCCTCCGCGGTGTCGCCCAGACCCGCCGAGCCGGAGCGTCGCAAGCCAGACCCCTTCCAGGAGCGCATTCTGAAGGGCGACTTTTATATGGACTGAGGAGATGATCCTTTGGTTCCATAAAATCGGAGCAGCTCATTGTTGACGATTTGGACGACCTGTATATCTGCCCCAGTTCATACGTGCCTACGTGCCGTGGATCATTTGTGTCTCACGCCGTCTTCTTTTCATATCTGTTTTCTTATCTGGGCTTAAACTTCCAGGAATTCTGATTTCCACCCCCTATTACATGTACCCACCGGGTTTCGGGCTTTTGGAGGTTCCCCATATTCTTCGTCACAGAGGATGGGCGATTTTAGATTTGTGGGCTTTCGTTATCATACTCGTCTTCTTTCTTTTTTTCCCCTTTTTCCCCTTTTTTTCCTTTTTTTCCTTTTTTTCCTTTTTTCCCTTTTCTTCTTCGGCGCTTCGAGCGGAGAAAGGGAGCCGAGCGTGTTTAAGGTGTTCTCTGGGTTGGTCTTGCTTATACGGCGCGACAGAAGGCTACAGACCGTCGGGGCAGGGGAGCGGAGCAAAGGAGTTGTTGTGCACACAATTTATGCGGAACCTCAGATCGGGAGACTGAAATGCTGGGATTTGTTCTTTCTTCTACTGTCCAAAGCTAGGTTTGTTTTGTGTTTGTTGCGGAGGAATGGCGCACATTATTCTTTAGGACCGTTTCGGCAGCGAATCCGGGGAAGGGGGGCTCTCGGCCTTTATGATGATATTGTATGATGAGCAACAAAATAGCGTGCGGGCGTTCTTCTTAAGCATGGTTGAGTATACTGATACATGTTTGAATTGAAGGATGAGATGATGAAGTGGGCTTTAACATTAAAGCCAGTGTGACGATGAGTGACGATGCGTGACGATGAGTGTGACGACTCGGGTAAGACACTCGACGCTCCCTGCGTCTCAACTTTAAGAACGATATCCAGCCATTAACTCCCCCGATTTGTTGATATCTATCCGTGACACCCGTTCCTCAGTATAGACTTGTACATACACACCACCCATCCTGTGCGTAAACGAACAACGAACCCCTTCACGTTCCTCGTTTCGATACGACCTCTTGAACAACGTAGCCATGTCATACGTACCCTGGTACAAAAGGGCGGACAGGTACGACGGCAGGGGCGCATCGAAGTTTCACATCTGAAAAGGGGGCACGCCGCTCCCCCACGACGAGCCGCCGGCCCCCCCGGCAGCGGCGCCACCGGCGGAAGCCGCACCACCCCCCGCCCCCCAAGCCTGCGGCATGCCCTGCAGGAAATCCATGTTGGCCATGACGAAACGCGCATCGTCTTTATCGAACCCGTTCACGTTCAGTGCCCCATTGCCGTCGGCGTTGGCGTTGCCGCCGCTAAAGTCGGGGCCAAACAGCACCCCCGGGTCGGGCGAGTAAACGAACCCCGCGGTCGTCCCGCCGCCGCCGCCGCCGCCCCCGCCGCCCCCGCCGCTTTCGAGACCGAAGCCGAGGCCGAGGCTGGAGGCCAGCTCTTCCATGGAGAGGTACTCTGTGAACTGGGACATGGGGAGGGGGGCGACGAAGGGGTCCGTGTTGAACGGGACGCTGGCTGCTGCTGCTGCTGCTGCCCCGGACGCCTGCATGAACGACTGCTGTGGCGTCGGTCGCGGTGGCGGTGGCGCTTGGTGGCGGGGATTCAGACCCCATAGGACGTTATGATTGCTACCGTGTGTACTGGAACTGGCATTGTTATCGTTGCTGTTGCTTTGCGACGGTGGTCGTAGTGCGGACCTGCGGTCATTGGTTGCAATCTCGGAAAGGAGATGAAGCGGCGTATTGGCGCTGAGATTTCCCGTTTGCGCTTGCGTTTGCGCTTGTGTTTGCGTTTGCGTCTGCTGCTGTGAAGACGGAGGTATGAACGGCCTTGGATCTCCCGAGGCGGCCGGCTCCTTCGATCCCGAGGGGACCGACGACGGATCGTCCTCCGGGCAAACACTATCCAGCTTGAAGAGGCAAAGGCCGCCATCCCCGGCCTTCGGCCGCTGGGAGTGATATCCCCTGAGCATAGCGATGATCATGAGAAATTTGGCGGCGGGTCGGCTCTTGTCCTCGGCAGCCACGGCGCGGAACTTGTCGAGCACGGCGTCCATGTAATAGTCGACGCGGATGTCGTCCTTGTTGATGATGGTCGCCAGGCCCGTTCCAGGGGTCGTCACGGCGGAGTAGATCCGCAGGAGGACCACGAGGGTGTAGGCAACACGGGTGAAGTTGAAGACGGGCAGGCAGCGGATGGTGGCGACGTCCATGCCCAGGAAGGTCTCGATGATGGTATTGATGGCCGTAAGACAGGCAGAGAAGAAGTTGACCTGGAAGCTGGTCAAGGCCTGCGCGTCTGGGAGGCCCGGGGGCCGCTGGGTGGCGGTGTTCGTAGAGCCAGACGGAGGCGAGGGCGTGGTCGAATCGTGGCAAGGGTCTGGGTTGATGCAAATTTCGTGGAGATGCAAGGAGACGATTCCAAAGGCGATTTTGAGGGTCGCTTTTTGAGCGGAGAGGTTAGATTCCGGCCAAAGTAAAGTGGCCGCCCAGCCAGGCCGATGGCAAAAGGAGGAGGACTACTGAAATGGGGACGACAGGGGAGAAACTCACGCTGTAGTATCTCCTTGGGTACGGACTGAAAATACGACTCCAGATCGTTTTCCAGTTTACGGAGAGAGAACAGAATCCTCGGTTCGTTGAAGTTGATCGTCTGCTCGGCATCCTCGAGGTTGAGCTGCAGCGCGATATCCTCCGCCAGGCGATGAGTGCGCACCATGGCGCAGAGAAACCGGTCGGTAGGCGCCGCATCGGGCGACGTCTCCAGCATGTCCACGCACTCGGAGGTAAACCGGGTCCACCGCAGCAGTATGGGCCGCTGCGTCGCGACGGCAACATGCATGGAGAGGAGGTAGCACCCAAGCCACGCCCTGCGGGCCTCCAGGGACGTCGGGTCGGGCATGAGACTCCGCCTGTAGGGGCTCTTACGCAGCGCGTACACGCCCAGCGGCAGATACCTACGACCGGGCGTCCTGCGGCCCAGGCCAATGTCGATGGCCATGACGCCGGCCATGTGCACGAGCTGGTAGAACTTGAGCTCCTCGAAGTGCTCGGGCGGGATGTACCAGATGACAGTAACGTGCAGGGCCTGCACGATTTCGAGGCTCTTCTCGCCCGCGATGATGATCTTCTGCGCCAGGATCTGCATCAGTTCCCGGCAGAGCTGGCGCTGCAGGCACGGCGTCTCCCCCGAGGCCGCCGTCACGATGGCCAGGAAGAGCAGCGGTTTGGTCCTCCTGAGGTCGGTTACCGACAAAGTCGGGGGGAACACGACGGCCGGCAGGTGCTTCACCATGCGCGTGGTATAGCGTGTAAAGAGCTCAGTGGCCTTTTCCATAGCCAAGATGCCCTTGGTTATGACGTCTTCGTATTCGCTGTCCATCCGTATCGGTGGTGGGGGACGAGGCTCAGGATCGACGGATGTCTCGTCTCGCTCTGATAGCTTCCTCTTCTGGCCGGCGCGATATGGCGGCGTGTCGCATGGAGGGTGGTCGCACGTCTCTCCGGTCGTATTTTCGTTTATTTTGTTGTTGTTGTTGTTGTTGTTGTTGTTGTTGTTG